ACCTTTACACCTGCATTCAGCTGTGATAGAGCTTTAATTACGTAATGCTACACGACGTTCTACCCAGCCTATCGCTGGATACTTTATTGTTTTGGTTGCACCAACCCTATATTCAATACCGCAGCAATTTTGTTAAAGAAGCGCCTTATTGAAGCTAATATGGGATTAAAACACTGTTTATGGGCCTCCATTTACAGCTTTGGAAAACAGTGCTAGTCACATAGGGTTCCATCTTTACAGCAATTGTCAAGTTCTTCTCATCTCGTCACTAATTATTGAAACAATCGATGAAGCAAGGAGATTTAACAAACTCATAAAGAATAGATGATTCCTTGGTTACTGAGGATTCTACCGTAGTTAGTATCCAGGGATGTGGCAAACATGTTCTGATTTTAGGTCGGAATAACGAATTTATAAGCAAGGCGAGTAGACCTTAAGGTAGCAACTGATAAGATCAAATATTGGGACATCTCTTGCGTCAACCGGCCACCTCTAGATAGTACTTGTTAGTAATCGAGAGTGGTCAGGCTTGCAGTCTGAGACGGTGACGTAGCTGCAGTGGGCACCGGGAAGGGGGGGGGGGGGCTGCACCCCCTAAATGATAATTTTAACAACAACTTGCCTCTTCTTGCTATAGTGTTTCCAAATGATATTTTGAAAATGTGGCAGATTTATCATTCCATGACCTTCATTTAGTCCACATATATCTGTTTGTTAAATATGTGTCTTCTTGTTATAAAACCTGCCCCCCTCAGGCATCGTTTTTGCTCGAGTTTGCCCCCCCCCCCTAGCCGACATCTAGAGCTACGTAGTTGATCAGATATATAGTGAAATTCAATGACGGAAGCAGGGTTGATAAAAATATGCACGCCCTCTTATTTGATGCCAAGAAACTTATATATTCAAAATGTTTCATCAGACACTCTAATTTTGGAAGATAATGCCTCTTCTGATACTTATTCGCATCACTCTCTGATTCTTATCGGATACCTATCATTTAGAAATATATATACTGTTAAACTTTCTTAAAGGACAGGTAGAACCCTCGAAAGTCTTACATAGGAAATTATTGGTGGCCTTCGACTCGATCAGGACAAACAATCTCAAAAGATTGGATCTAGATATTTCGTTTCGTAACTTAGATTACACGCATGTTTACATAGAATTATACTCTGGATGAGTACTCAGGCCCTTAATTTCCTTTAGAGCTTCTCCAGGACCCGCGCCACACGGGGGCAGGGGGCACATGGCCACCCCACTTCTACGCTAAATAAAAGATTAATGTCGACACAAATTATTCATTTAGACAAACCTTCAGATAACAACAAATACACCGAACCAAAGACCACAAGAAAAATAGCGTCAGCAAAATGTTTACCACAATTGGGGTTGGAGGGGTAAGGGGAAACTTTCTCTACATCATTGGCCCCCAAGTTTAAGATCAATGGCGCGGATCCTCTTCTTAAACACAAAATGCTAAGAAGCTCTTCTTCAGAAATACAAAAACGTAACGTAACATAAAGTATAACTAGAAAATCTAACCAGTCGCAAGGAGCTCTTTTTTCTATTATACATTATCAATGAGGCAAATCTTTCTACCTAATCGTCTTGAAGTACTAATTTTATCGCATTTTCAAAGGAATCGTTCTCGAGCAGTTTCATAAGGCTGAGGTGATCACAGCTATCGCTTCATAATGCTTTAATCATATCAGGGCTCGGTTTTTTTAAAGACGGTTTCTTAAAAAATATTTGTATTGTTTCGGAGCTGTGATACAGGCGGCTATAAATTATCCAGCTAGAAGCAAAACAATTTCGAGCTCAAACAAAAATCCAGCAGAACGTAAAGGAAAACTGTCTAAATTGGCCTGTGAATGTATCATCTTGCGAACATTTGTGAAGGGAAAGAGCAAACCTGGCTCAATATACGCTACACCAGTTCTTTGAATAGCAAGAGCAAATTATCAGGTGTATCGATACAGACACTTATTTTTAGAGATTCGCTCATTTTTAGAGAAACAATCCTCAGGTTTCTGTGCATACAGTTAATCATGCATAATCCCGCTATTACGGATTTTGTAAAAAACCATGAAAAATGTTTGTTACAGCGGTACTTCGTTATAAATTGTTGCGTTGCGTTGTGGGTACCACAAGGTTCCCTTTTGGGTTCTACAATCACTTTTCCTTTAATGTTTATAACATCCCTTGTCTATAGAACTCTTTTCGAGAAAAATTAATAAAATATTCAGTCTTTCAAAGGACGCCCTATAAGCAAGAGCTGTAGTGGGATGAGTGTCGGGAGACTCATGGCAATTAATCCCGAAGTGTTGCTAATCTTTACTTCGTCATTTGTCCTTGAAAAGTTTTAATTGACAATACCATTGCAAACCCTATGACAATAATATTTATCCAAAGAGGGATGTTAACATTTGATGTAAACCCGTTAACACTGTTTTATCGTCGTAGTTTAATCAAGATAAAATAATAGAAGTCCCATTTTTCTATCTTGGTTAATTGTAACGAGACTTAGACTTTTTAACGGGAAATCAACTGATGCAGTGCCAAGCATTGACATTCTGGAATGCCGTGGAAATTTCCCCCAGGGTCAAGCTAAAATGATAAAGTAGGCCCTAAAACATGTTCAAATACACATACACAAGGCAGAAAGGTTTATATATCTGTTGAATTCCGCTGCCACAGCCGCCTCTTTCCGTGAAGCTTGAAAACCTTGCAGGGATTCCGCATAACAATGATAAAATGATCTCTTTGTTGTGCAAATAGAAGGTTTACACGCTCAAGAGCAGAGAACAAAACACCGACACACGATACTTTTGTTGTCGCTAATAAAATAGGTTGTGACTTATTCTTAAGTTGCCGCGTAAATAAACAGAGTTTTTATGCGGTTGGTTTATGGAGCAATTATAGCAAACAATGCGTAAACACTTGAAACAAAAAGCGTACTCGGACTTGATATACTTGAACTACAAACAGTCGAGATATCATCAGAAACTATTTGCTGAGCAACAAAATACAAACAAAATATGATTGCAATAATACTTACAATAATTCGATAGCGATGAATATCTCCACTTGTTATGATTCGTTTATTCTCTTTTGACTCAGAATCGCTTCCATTATTATTATCATATGTAGAATTCGCTAATAAACTCGCAATTTTGTCTTTCCTTTCGCCTTCATCCCGCGTAACTTTGTCAATACGGGAACAGTTCGTGGAATGCTTGCCAAGCTGTTCGAAACGAGTAACATTTGAAAAGCCACTAAAACTATCTTCATTCTCCGTGAGATTCCCATCATACAGTAAACAAAATATCAAAATTAAGCAATAATGATGAAACGCCGACGACATCCTCCGCGATTAACTCAGCGTATGAACTCGGCGTAAGACTGGCTACAGAGCAACGCTGTACACATCGTACAGTTATATTAGAATCTTTTAATTGCTAGGTTAGTCACACGCCAAGACTTTGTGTTTTCCGTGACCGCAAAACATTCCACCACATGTTGCGGCTATCAAGATACACAGGAAGTGACTTGCTACTGCTGCTACTCCGCAGAGACATAACGAAGGCAGCCGCAGCTTGAGGACCCCAAGTTATCGATTGAGAAATTGGGCAATATTGGGGACCAGTATTCATTTGTCATATAAAGAAAGCCAGCATTAAAAAAATTCCAGCTCGGGCTCTTTAAAGGTCGGGGTCCTTAGTTTTCGAACTTGAGTGCATTACGCCATTGCTCCTCCGTAGGGCACCGCTGATAACACTCTCGACGACCGATCAAAACAGGTAATCCGTATAAATGTTTACTCATTTCATATCACTCAAAAGCCTAGTAGACGCTTTTTTGATAGCCTAAACGAAAACATGCGGTATGATAGTTCTATATGGTTCCATTATCCACAGATAAGGGACGAATGCGTTGTCTGAAACCCAGGGGCCATCAGCCAGGGCAAAATTAGCCTGTGCTCCAGACCCCCAACCTGAAAGGAAGAGGTCTGGAGAACAGGCTACAGTGAAATATGTTTAATGGTCTAAGGACTTGTTCCCAGAAAAAACAAAAGGACAACCAAGTCTCTCCAACAGCAAGTTATATTCCGTGAAATACATTTACAAGGAAATCGTAAACTCAAATATTTTTAGAGATCCTTTCACAGGCGCTCTCATCGAGCAAATTAAACTAACTAATACATTATGACTGGAATTTATAAACTGTATATGCGAGAGGCTACACGCTGATAACAATGAAAGTCTTATATGATTTAAAGGGGATTCTCATAGTTTGAAACCGCCTGATTATAATTGCCGTACCTTTACCACAGTTTAAATTTACATTAATAACAGATGTTTGCATTCAAAGGCAAGACGAGCATGGCTCTACTCAAAGTTATGATAGTATAGTGTGTCAGAAGCCTTCGAGACCATTTTGCCTTATTTCAGAAGGGAGCAAAGATTCACACATAATAAGTAAGTTATCATAATATACTGAATTTCCTTCAAAATTATTCCTGTTCAGGCAAACTTTTGATAGTTCGTGATAGTTTCTTATATAAAATGAGTGTAGACCATACAGTTTCGAATCTGCAATTTCCCTCTCTTAAAATCGATGCAAAATCTCTGCAATGAAACTTTCGAGAACACAGGCACCGCAGAGCAGGGGGGCTGGGGGGAGGAGGCTATAGCCACTTTTTGCAAAAAATGCCAAATGTTTAGTAATAAACTACCAGTAAAGCCTCTTTTATTCGGTTTTAGCCCCCAACTTTTTTTAGACCCCCCACTTTTCTCAACACTCTGCGGTGCCTGGAACAATTAAAGTTTTCATTAAGTGTTAATGCAAGCTATTTCTTTATCAATAAAAATTATATAACATTTACTAAAAACTGTTTCGTTTGGCTTCGGGTTCTGAAAATAAGGACTTACTCGTCACCTTCGAACTACAGAAGGCTTGAAGAAAAACAAGATCGTTGCACCACCAATAACGGCGAGTGATCATTTTGTGAAACTTTTTTCATCGAATGCTATAAATAATATAGGTACAGCAGTATGCCACAATTCGATGCACGTCAGTGACACGAAGCCCACGAGGCTAAGGAATCTTCTAAAGATATTATCACCAAATCATTCGCTTTCTACAAGATTTCAAAACATGTATGATCTTGGCTCTACGTAGCTTCACATTTTAGAGCTGCGAATGAGATAAAAATACCTTCGAGTAGAACATTCTGGCTTTGCCTGAAGTACCTAGTAGGGCCTTTGCTAACATACTAACTAGAGGGGGCGATTGCCCCTCCAGCCCCAGTGACCGTTAATTGTTTAAAACGATGAGCTATTGTCCTCCTTTGTATGTAATCAAAGGCTTGCCCTCAAGCTGGTTTGCCAAAAGGCTATGGTATTGAGAATGTCTTTTTAAGTTGTGGGTAACGAGGTATACTTTTCAACCAGTAGGCTTTAATATTGACGATAACTACTGCACATATTTACATGATTTATGCTAACAAGGCGTTTATGCCAAAATCACCAATGTACAATGTGACTGTGGTTAATTAAAGTCAAAACCTAACAAGAATATTCCTTGATCATTTGACTTCTTTTTAAAGTCGATGAACTGGAGCATTAGTGGCGTCAAAGGGGATATGAGTAGGGTAGTTTTCCCCCACACAAACCTGGTCCACATACTTTTTCTAGAAATTGATTAAAAAGCGTTGGGTAAAGATAGATCATACTTTGCCTAAGGAAAATTCACCAAATACAAAGCACTGAAACGTGGCTAAAAGGGCGTGATATCACTGGTCACGCCCATCGCTGCAGTAGCTGGCGCCGCCACTGAACTGGAGAGTCAAAGTTTTCCATAGCAGTTTGCAATCTTGACGTCTCGATGTCTAGCTTTCAGCGGCATCCATCTGCCATTATTGTAATATGCAACTGAATTTGCGCTGCAGTTCCTGCCAATACTGAGTATTTCTGGTCCAGTAATGACAGGATCACCTTCAATGTATTCGTTGCCATAGGAAACACCATTGTAGCAGCATCGCCCATAGTTGATAAAGTATCGAAAATCACCTATCAAAAAATGAATGCCAATTGAAACAAAGTGATCATAGACACAAAACACAAATATTTTACGTTCTAATGATAATCATGACGTACTGAGCTCGGCTGAGGTAACCCGTATACCCCTGAAGGGCCTAATCATTTATAAATGCACTACGTAGAAAACAAAGCTTCAAAAAATGCACAAACGTAAGAATCAGAGAGCTGGAAGTATTGTGGTCATAGACGTAGGATCCAGGGCAGAGAGGACATATGCCCCTCACTTTTTAGAAACAGAGGTAAAGTAGCTATTTGCAGCTCCATGAAGGTATCAATTTTTGCCTGCATTTGCCCCCCCCCCCGTCTATGCCAGTAGTTGCAGCATCCAAACCCCCTTGCACCAAAAATTAAAAAAGTCCTTTGTTAAATGGGCAATTTGTTACATGACCATGAATTTCATGAGAAGCAGACAGAACTCGCCATGGGTTGAAAAAATTATGCTTTCAAACCTTTTCGCTCTATCACTCTTTTATAAAGTTTGCCATTCAAATCCGCAAACTTAAACTCGAGTCCTGTGATGCTTATTTCCTACGAGAAAAAGGCTACGAGGTAATTTCTACGAACAACTATGGGAAAAGATGTTAGGGCCAGGACCCTAAAGAATTTCATAGCTCTATAGAAAATTTCCTACCTATATTGTGTCTACCTTAAATTGGACTTTAACGGTCTAGGGGTCAATATATGGCCTCAGGCTTGGAAAGACAATGAGACTAGCATGGACATGAAAATGGAGTCTCTGGTTGTGACGTAAGTAAAAAACAACGAGCGGATTAAAAGTGCAGATTGCAACTCTTTCAAAGTTTCAGATTGGTTGCCGCTAAATGTTATCAAAGTTATTAATTGCTGGTATTCAGGAGCATCTAGGCTTGAGTTCAGTGGAAGAGCATATCTGTGCTGAGCAAGGGTCCTCTGATTCTAATTGGAGCAATACTTCACTATGCTGCAGATTCTTGAACTTCTTGAAACAGGCAGATGCAGAAAAAGGGCTTTTCTGCTCTGAATAGGAGCAAGATTTCAACATTTCCAGAATAGGTGAAATTTATTAACGTCTTGTTTCATTACAAAAATTGCCGATTCTAAATATCTTCAGGTATTACCACATTCATTGTGAAAAGAAATAAATGATTTCTCTTTCTGACGAGCAAACTCCTTCTGGCGTCATTATAAAAATGCCAACTTAATCAACTGCACTATATCACCTGACGGTGTCTGCATGATAGCCTTGAAATTCTTGTGTGAATTAGTCTAATAAATAGCACCCAAGCAAACAAGATTTTATTAAAAATCTTTGCAAGACGTTGCCTCCTTTCTTTTTGTCAGAGTTTTAAGCGCAAAAATATGATTCATTGTTTCAAATTATTGGCAATGCAAACGAATCTTGCATATGAAAAACAATTTTCAATCTTCTTCTTATCGCCTTTCCTTTACCGACAACTTGGTGTCTCGCAATTTTGTCAAAATAGTTGTCACTTGCGAGTAAAACCATAATCCTCGTTTCTGATAAAAAACTTTCGCAATCATTATACATAAACAAACCTGGAACGTTGTAGAATATGTTAACAAAACTGTCTGCTCTCCGAACGAGCCACTTTTGCAAATACTCCGGCGAAGAAGTGTATCTGATCCATATTTCTGCCACAGCGATAACCCGATTGCAGCGAGAACAATGAGCAGACATAAATCCTGCCAAAAGCTTTCTAAAATACAACAAAAAGTATCAAGCGAAAATTTAAAATACAGGCCCCTTGCATAACGAGGTATCTAGGCCCCTTGCATATAGAGAATTGAAATGATGACGTGTTAAAAATCTATCTTTGGATTACTTTCTGCTTTGAGCACATAATCGATAATAATACTGTATACCGTAAATCCTCGAATTGGCCCCCCTCGAAACCCCCCTCAAATAAGCCCCCACCCTATAACTACAAATTGTCAATAAGCCCCTCCCTCGAATAAGCCCCCACTGCTACCATAAATTCTCGAATTGGACCCCTCCATTTGACGATTTTTGCCTTCTGAGGTACCATATGGCCTTTTTTTGAACTACCACAACAAATTTATACTTTTGGTAGTAATTAATTAAATGCTCATAAAGAAATTCTTACTGAAATAAACGAGGTCTTTTAATAATGTCTTCTTGATGTCTACAATAATTTTATAAGCCCCCCTCGTATAAGCCACTACCCCCTCGAATAAGCCCCCATCCAGAAATATCAAAAATAAATAAGCCCCCAGGGGGCTTTGAACGTACGGAGTACGTCACATCTTACCAATATACCTGAGATATGGCCCCATCAAATCACTGTTATTCTAAACCTTATCAAGCAGGCCACAATAACAGTGAGTCGTTAGCAAATATTCAATTTTTCCATTGGCCATCTCCCAAAAAATAATAAACATACTTGACTGATTTTGCGTACTCTCAGGCATTTTAGGTATCCTTTCTGCTCATGTGGTCAACATGTCAAAGTTCTAACGATATATTTTGATGAAAACATCATCATTTTTGCTACTGTGCGTTTCTCTGATCAACCCAATAGGTTGATATTTATGTTATTCTTTCATTACTGGCTGTTAATTTTCTCTGATCAATAAGTTTTTATTAGAGTAATTGTGGTGACTATTGGTTAATATCTGGTATAAATAGCGGTAGTGGTGGTTCCTGTAAAGACAATCCGTCATACATGAACTGGTCAATCACATCAACAATTGTCAATAGGCGAATGACAAAGAACTACAGCTTTCCTGAGAGGGTTGTTGCTTTTTAAGGAACGTATACATTGAGCATAAGTTATGGTGCCTGTGACATGATTTTTTTTATTCTCTTAATTGAAGCGTTGCACTGCTCTTATAGTAGATCTGAACTTTTTTGTGAAATAAAAGCGTTTTGATATTGAAATTAAGCAAAATAGTGCGGCCTAGCCAAGTCGCTTTATCATCATTCGCCGTTCTCTTGTGACGTCATGGGAGGAACTCGTTATTGTAACAATGTAAGTGCAACCTTCAAAAATCTCATCCTCGCTGCCACTACTTTCTCTGGAAATATCGCTCATCTTGGACCTGTTAGATTTCCCTCATTGACTACGATACTGTTAGATTTCCCTCCCGTGACGTCACTGTCTACTCATTCTGAAAACCAAGATGGCGAATTTTAGCGTAGAAGATCGCCAATAATTCCTTCATTTCTTATGAAACGTAAAAACTAACCTCAGAAATGAAAATAACAGGCCTTTTTACATAAGAATAGATATATAAACCCAAAAGTACGAAAATCATGTCACAGGCACTTTAAGGAAAATCCAAAATCGTGCACATTGCTGGAGGATTAAACTTGATGACAAAAGTGAGTAATCGAGTCACGAAAGGCAATTTGAATTGAGTTGTCACGTAAATGCAACTGAAAGGTTATATATGTTCAGATCGGCAGAAGTCAAGAGTATGTAAAAGACGGAAAATCAATGAAATGGGGAGCAACGTATTAGTTATTTGGCCAAGTAAACAAATATTAACATACTCCAATTAGTTCTTCGTATAGCTTTCTTCATTTTCAACTCTGTTGCCTTCGTCAGCCTCTTTTCCATACTCTCTGTCCTAGAGCACGTTGCTAGGAAATCGATGCCATTGACAACAGAAACGAACGACGAGACAAGGCTTTGCTCGTTCACACTGACATCAAGTTTAGATTCCAATGCTTGTCCTGAAATTGGAAAAAACACTGTCATTTGGTTTGTAGAAAGAATATTTTTTTGAAGCCACCGTATAAAAATGTCTGCATCAAGAAATTGTGAAAAGCTTATGTTAAAAGGCTGGCATTGAAAATTAATTTCATTATACTCATTTTTATGAGAACCACTTAAGTGAATCTCAGGCTGACTGTCCTTGATTTTTTCGAAAAACTGAGGTTGGATTGTTCTTCATTTGTTCATAAAATTATTAGAGTGTAAACTGTACATAGTAAAATTGCTAGATAGTGTGCTCTAGGGGGGTTTCAGGCCTTATTTGCCAACAAATTGAGTGAGATATACAGCATTTGCAGTAAAGGTTTAATATTAACCGAATAAGCACCCCTAGATTACAAAATATTCCTCGTTTTGGAGATCAAATTGCTTAAATGGGCTTCAAAATAGTGTTCAAAATCACATTTGACAGTAGCTCAGCCTCAGCTTGGTCTTGCCTGGTTTATTGAGGCTCGTGTTCTTATAGATCTAAAGATTATGTCAAGAGGGTCTTCCCCCTTCCAAAAAAGTTATATAATGTCACAAAGTATTGAGGGCTAAAAAGATAACAGCCTTTTTGAATTGTTTTGCAAAAAAGATGGGGGTGTCATGGCCCCTGCCCCCTCCCCGTCGTCTTAGGCCCTGGTGTTAAAAATGGCTTCTAGTTTGCAAAACTAACTTGAATTCCTTTGTATATTCAGAGTCACCGAAGGAATGTATTTTTAATTACGAAAAAAGCACCATACTTCCATAATTCGTAAACGATGCAGAGCAAGAAAATGATTATGTAAGAATATGTGATATAGACTATGTGTTAGGAATGCTATCGATTGTAAACGAGCACAAGAAATGTTATCGCACCAAGAAGAATAGGCTTGTGGTCAGCATCTGGTCGTTCCAAAGCAATAGTCGCTAACGTGGTTGCACAGCCAGGGTGTTTTGGAAAGGCAAACAGCTGGTCACCATTTTGCACGGGTCCAACAACCCTCACTGGAACAATGCCAATAACTGCAATAATTTCAGTCTTTCCTGTTAAAGGACAAAAACTGCTTGTTATTACTTAGCAGAAGTTGCTATTGGGAAGATGAATAATGTCAAAATTGTCAAAAAATTTACAAGCGCATTGTTAGTCAAAATAATCTCAAATACGGAAAACATAATTCCACCATTCGAGACACTTCTAGATAATGGCTACTTTATTGAAAACACCAGCACAAAGACTAGCCTCGTTATAAATAACCTCGTTATGAATACACCAATCTATACACCGCAGGGCGGTAGGTGGTGTATAAATAACTTACATTTTTTCTCATGAAACTTTTTACACCCTGTATCAAATTAGATGAATAGAAGTCTACTTTACTTGAAGTATTCAACACATACCAAGCAAGGCCTCTTTGCACAATCCTTCCAGATAATACGAATCTGTGATAACTCCAGCAAGCTTTGCTTTTTTGAAATTCTGCAAGTCAAGCCTTTCGATGTATGTTTTGTTCCATTCGTCTTCAAAGAGCCCAACTATGTCACCCTCTTTACATACACCCTTGTGGCTGATATTTTTTAAGGGAATATGATACCCTATGTCGCGTCTTCCCATCACTTTGAATGTCCTTAAGGTAAGGTCTTGGATGAATGCTGTGTCAGCACTAAGCCTTTGAAATGAAGCTACAGAAGTATAAAAAGCCTTGTCTCATTAGTTGGTCGCTTGTTGATAAATATGAAATAGCTTTGACTTTCACCAAATGATAAAATTTCAACCGTAAAAACCATTATCAATGTAAACTATCTATCTCAACTTCCTCAAAATCAACAGATAATAATAATCATCATCATCATCATCATCATTACATTTACATTTAACAACCCTTTTGGGTCATACAAATGTCTGCCCAGTCAACTACAACATTAAAATTTACTGAGGTGATTTCGACATAGGTTGTAAAAGATATCCGAATTTGCCTGCATCACAAAACTGTCTGGCAGGCTATTCCATACAGAAACGATTGAATAAAAAAATGAAAACCTAACAGCATCAACCCTTCCGAATTTAGGCATGATCTTCAATGAGTTAGAGTTCCTTGTCATTGAACAAGTTGCAGGGGAAAAGAAAACGTTATGGTAGTACTATTACGTTAGGTCTTTAGACATAAGCAGTTCAGATATTTTGGTAAGGATTATAGTCATATTTGGATATGTTGATTTACAAGAATTTTTGAAAAATAATGTCGGGGTTATTGGGAAAGAAAAGAAGCTCAACTGAGAAATGCAGTGAGTACACCTCTCTATATGGTCATAAAATAGTCGCACAGTTATGGCTCTATGCCAAAATCTTAGCCTGAATAATCTTTAAAAAATTGAAGCAAATTTTAACATAGAAGAATTTTAATGAGAAAGCAAATTTTAACACAGAAGAGCATAAAAAAAACTAGTGGCTAATGTGATATGATATGTGCTCTTCCGTGCTACTTTCAAATTTTGCGGTACTATTCGTTACCTGAGAAATAGCAACTTCAATTTCGATTTTGTAAACGCCTGCAAATTTCCTTAAACTCCTGCACGAAGTTTTAAATCAAGATATAAATCGAAAAAGTATTTGCTATCGTGAACAAGTGTAAGATTTGTTATTCTTTATAGCATTCGATGAAAACGGTTTCACAAAATGACCACTCACCGTTGTTGGTGATGCAACGATCTTGTTCCTCCTCAAGCCTTCTGTAGTTCAAGCGTGATGAGTAAGTTCTTTTTCGTTTGGTTTCGGGTTCTGAAAATATTTATATAATTTTCGCTAAAAAGAAATGGCTTGCATTGACACTTGATGAAAGCTTTAAATGTTCTCGAAAGTTCTGTTGCAGAGATTTTGCGTCGGTGTTAAGAAAGAGGAGTTGCAGATTCGAAACTGTATGGCCCACACTCATTTTATATAAGAAACTTGTTATAAGAAACGAGTACAGGACAGTCGGAAAAATTAAGATCATAATTGCTGTACTCGAAGCAAAAAGGTTAAGAAACCTTGGTCCTGTCGTTTAAACTTGGGTCTATCGTGTAGGGTCTATCGTGTAGTGTCTATCGTGTAGGGTCTATCGTGTAGGGTCTATCGTGTAGAATCTATCGTGTAGAATCTCTCGTGCAAAACATGCAAGACGAATTATCAAAAGTTTGCCTGAATAGGAATAATTATGAAGGGAATTCAGTATATTATGATAACTCACTTATTATCTGTGAATCTTTGCTCCCTTCTGAAATAAGGCGAAATGGTCTCGAAGGCTCCTGACACACTATGCTATCATAAATAGAACCATGTTCATCTTTCCTTCGAATGTAAACTTCCGTCACTAATTCAAACATATTCGGGTCTGCCCTGTTCCCTGTACACAATGCGTATACCTCTTTCAACTTGCCATTTTCTTCAACTTGATAAACGGAGTCTAAGTCAACTTTTAGCTGCCATGTTGTGCGGCTGGTCTGCTTAGCATCGCAATCTAAATGCACCAGATCTCTTGCATAGTTTTCATTTTTTTCATACACGCTTAAATCCTGAAATGCAATGAAATCGGCCATTAGGCTTTTCTAGCCTACAAGTTGTATAAATTTTCAATTCTATAAAATATTTGAATATCGTTTTGACCGGGAAATTCCAAGTAAAGATGAAAACCACGCCCATTGGAGAATATTTTAGCAGGAATGGTGGGCTTGGCTTCTAGATCCACATGAAATATGGTTAGATGATTCAAAACCGGGTATATATATTCCATCGTGTTCGTTCGGACCCTAATTCTGCCATTTTATATTCTGAGGAGTGTCAGAAGAAAAAGCGTTCAGTATGCTGTAAAACGTTTGGTTTTTTTCTAAGCTATCGTCACAATTTTTCTACGTTACGAAAACAAGGGTGTTCCAGACAGTATGCAACGAAAGAGTCGTTAGGTCACCAATCGACGATTAGCCAATAATAAGCCTGATACGACTTGTGCGGTTTTTGATTGGCAGGGCGTCGAAAAGAATAATTTACATTCATCCTTAAAAGAAGGATTTTCGAGCAGTTTCTTAAGGTTGAGAGTTTCATATTTGTATGGTCATTTTAAGGCTCGGTTCCTTATAAACGGTTTCTTATAAGAAAATTAGCGCATTGCTCCAGCGATGTTGTTTACATACAATGAAGTCATATACCTTTTTATATGTTATTCTTTTCAATCCTGTTTCTTTTAATCTTGTTGTATTATATGTTTATCATGATCTTTATTTTACATGGTATTTTAGTGCATAGCCCGCAGTAAACCAGTTTTTCTCCGACTGAGGAACTACCATGTCTAAAAATGAAATGCAAGTAAAATATACCTCATTAAAGACACATTTCTCTCTACCAACAAGTACTTCTGCAAATAGCTGTTCTCCGCATTCCAACATATTGCATTCAACACTGATAAGTACAATGCCATTCTGAACTCTCATCCAGGACTGTTTCACCTTTCCATCGCAGCCAATAATTGTTTTGCCTTTTTGCAGTTTGCAGTGTTTTTTTATATAGCATGCCTTCAAATTTTCGTATCTGACTTCAACTGTTCTCCTATCGGAGTCATTTATCCCTGAAATATATAAATGTACCTATGTATATGTATAAATATATATATGTATATGTATATGTATATGTATATGTAAATGTATAAATGCAGATAGGTGTGTCTATTAGATGCTTTACTAAATTTTTGACTGTTTTTATTCATATTTTAAGTTAATGCTTGTTTATGTATTTCATTAATTATATCAATACATCATCATATCAGAAGATTATTTTCGAGATGTACAGAAGATTCAGAGCTTCTTTTTTGAGTCCGCATTGGGGCATAATTGAGAATTTGTGTTTTTTGGGCTTCCAGTGTGACCAATTTAAAGATCCGCAGTTGTGACAAATGTTACCACCAACAACCCAGAATGTCGAAACTTTTCATTCCAAACCTGAGCTACTCAAATAATTGCTTCAGACATCCATTTTAAGGAATCCGGAGTATAAAAAGAATTAAACCTTTATATCAGAACATTCAATAATGAACTACAAGAAAACTGGGTATCATAATACGATCAACGATAGTCCTTTGGCTATATGATAGAAGCAAATTTATTCTAATGGTAATTTAGGTCGATACGAGATAAATTGCATGTTTGCACAGCGAAAAATGTTCCATGTAGTTCCACGTCAAGGGGAATGCTCTCGCCCTTTTTAAAGTGTTTTTGTCCAATTTCATAGCGTTTTGATCAGACACAATAGGTTATTGAATTGAGTTCATAACAGAATTACGCAGCATTCCTGTTTGGAAATTTAGTTCCAAGAAAGGAACAAAAAGAACAATAACATGATCGATACGAGAAGTGTTCTAGAACTAGTGATATTGAAAAAGTGCAGTGTCCGTAAATGTTTTTGCTAGCTTAAAAAGCTAGCTTTATAGTTATTGACGAAGGAAGGGCTACCTGGATATGCTTAGTCTTATATTTTCAATTTGGTTTGATTTTATCTAGCATATGTATTGCATTCAAACAACAACTTAATTACGATTATTGGTTTCAATAACCTAATTATCTATCAATTGTTATTCTTACACCAGCATACGGTAAACAAATGATAAGTATAGAGAGAGGTCTGCCGGGTGTGACAAATGTACTGCAAGGAGCATGACTTTGTTTACAATAAATATCGAAATTAGGGGAGTTGGCATCAGGAGAGGCTTAGGCTCCAAATAATTGCCAATAATTTTACATTAATAAATGGAATTCGTCAGTTCAAATTCCTTCCTTGAAGCCCTTTACCCTTATACCAATATTCATCCCAACGTCCTTCGACGCAACTATATCGTTTTTGACAAATAAACCCACTGGAACGCTGATAACAGGAAAATGAGTTGAAGTTAGAAGATCAGAGTATGAGAAGAGGTGGGGACGTTCTTCAAGAGATATGATATTTTAGGTATCTATTTAAAATTGGTAATTTCATAAGAAGTTTAAATGTATTGCTGTTTTTCGTAAGCCTTCGGTTCCCATATTCTCCAGGTGGAAGCATTGCCTTTCCCGAATTTTGGAGAGACGTTACCCTTACCGTATTATACTCCTGATCTATGAGTCTGGTTAAATTTCTACGTTTCGGTATTCTAACCTGCAACTTAGGGAGTGATAAGCTTATAGTTTGATCTCTGTCTCTTAGCTAGAACTGAACCTATCAAAGGGAATCTCAATACTTTCATGTAGAGCAAAAAATGGCTGGTAATCGAAATTCGCTGGTAGAATTCAAGTGACTGATGTTATGAGGGGAAGGAAGGTCGTTATGCCGGGTAACAGTTAGTTGGGGAGGGGGGTTATATATCATATCTTACTTACCAACAGCTTCTGCCATTCCGAAGGTTTTGATGCCTGCCTTGCAGCACACGTACTACTCGGAGGCTATGAGTTTGCAGGTCTTATATTATGTATGAAACTAGAGTTTTTCTTGGGAGGGGAAGCCAACTGTTGTTGATGTGTAGGTATAATCTTGGTGTATGACGTAATCTATCGTCTCTCTACAAGATAAAGACAATGGGTTTCAGTTTCAGAAAATCTTAATCCTCAACCATTGAATTGAGAGCTGAACGCGCTCTAGCGTAGTAAACATGCGTAGTTTAATCGCCTCTCGGGATATCTTTACAGGGAGAGTCCTGCGATCCTGGCGAAATATGCCTAGACACTCGCAGAAAATCAAGTTAATGCAAATCATCTATATCAAATCATCTACCATCAACTCGTCCCACAAAATCAATGCTGTTATGAGAGTGGTTTAGTCGGGGTACCCAAAAAGGCCTCTGATTTCTGAATTCCCGCAACATTGGGGGGAAGGGGGTGTGGGCTATCAGCGCATATTGCCTAAAGATAAGAAATTTGACTTTGCTGTATTTTGCCAAGGTTCTGGCAGTGTGAGGACGACAGATTTTTAAGGCACAGGAGCAATTGTTTTTTATGCTTCCTGATGAACACCATTGTGTTTTCTACTTCGTTACAAAGTATACTTGTATCAGCAGAAGATTTTGGTGCTTAAATGTGCTAGCTTTTGGTGACAGCTGGTTCGCACGACCTTGGACAAAATTCCACTATGATTTGCAGCTTCTGGAATCAGATCCCAGATTCTCACTCTTTTCAAACCAGTACGTTAGGCATCCCATATAATATAGAAGCCTTGGTGTCCCACCCATATGTTTGCCAGTGGGCTCTGACGCAAGTTGGAGAGTAAGTTGGGGAGGGGGGGGGGAGAACAAATTAAAAATCCATAACAAAGGGTTTTATATGAAAAGCCCTGATTGATATACTATCTCTTAGGCCTTCATTAGTTACTTGCTTTATAATCATAATATTGGAAGCGATGGGCAATTGGTGACAAAGTAAATCTTGATCAAAAAAATGAAAAAGATTGAAATTAATGCTTGCTAGCTTTTTTAAGGTACATTCATCCATTATTTATCGTGTCCATATTTCATGTCATGTGATCATCATTAACGCGTTTTTTATTCACTTAATTCAATGTTGGTTTAGACAAAAATAGCTAATAAATATATAATTAAACCCAAATAAAAACGTGCCTAATATAATCGTGAAACCTATTTAATAATGTAGTTTTTAGCCTCTAGCATACTTTTAATTATGTTCACGAAGAGGACGATTAGACCGATTGTACAGCCACGGTTGTAAATCATGTTTAATGGATTTTAGCTAACATTTTAGCAATTCTCTGCTTCTCGAAAAGACAGTCACTTAGATTAGGGGTCTTCATAAAGTGTATTGTTAAAAGGAGGTGAAAGGAGTCATACGAAACCGATTTGCAATGCGAACCAGCATGCATTGCGGAGGAGTTCTCTATTTAGTGGGATTCCCCTTCTGCTACAAACAACAGAGATGAAAGAGACTGAAGCCAGTCAAGCAACAAAAGTAAGAGGGACGACCTAAGTTCGCATTGGAAGAAGTTTGTCGAGCAAAAACAACATCGATCCGATTTGTTAAACAAGCAAGATGTCAGTTAATATCGGTGATGTCGATATGGCGCCATTACTGGAATATCTGGGTCAGCAAAGTAGGTTTCTTTATAGATATCTGTTAATATGACGTTTTTGGTTTTGCTAGCACATAAGTTAAATTTCCCATGTGTTGTGGATCAGCGGCTACAGCTTGAAAATGAATTTCTAAAAGTCAGCTGTAATAGAACATTCATGAAAATGACGAATTTAACGCATGGGATTAATAAAAATTCCGGCTCGTGCTGCTATGTTCTTTTTCTTTACAAATCTAATTTCTCTTCGTACTTCCAGATTCTAACATTTCAACCGCTAGCCTAGGCCCGTATTTACGTAGTCCAAAATAACATGCTCTTATCGTATGCTTTGACTAGAACTGAACAACATATGGAAAGGCCAGAACCATAGTTTAGAATCTGAGTGTACATCAATATTAAATTTTCTTTATGGTTGAGAAAGCGAGACTTTTTATCAAAACATTTCTAGTTTGAAACTTGATAACTTCTCGATCATAGTTCACGAGAACGTATTTTATGATAACAGTAGAGGTTATGTCAAGCGCAGAATAAGGAACTGTTTTATCGATCGCGGCATGGCAGCATCTATAAATATCGGACACGTAATTTATTTCCGTCTCTGCAGCATTCAAAATGCGGAACTGATTAAAAGAATTAGTGGCTTGCTGCCTGGTCTGCAAATTAGCGCAGTTCTCAACGAGATCTTGTGATGCAAACAATATAAATTTTTCACAAAGAAAATCGGCATAAAATTTCAAATTTTGGCGTGCGGCGCTGCACTGAACTCGTACCATACTCTCTGCACACTGGGCTTGTAGGGGCAAAGACCGAGATACAGATTTTTGTTTGGGGGGGGGGCAGCCCTGATAAATAAATGAAACTACAGCCATATTTTACAAATAAAGAATTTTACTTATGCTATTCAAGATTTTGGGAGGGGCCAAAGACCCCTGACTCCGGTATCTCGGTCCTTTGTATTCGTAGGGTGTTGCATCAGTGGATGCACCAGAAATTAGGCTTGGCAAGGGGCTAGGTGCTAGCATCATTGGACGGGTGCTAGCGTCGTCTAGCCCTCCTCCATGAAGTTCTTTATCCAGTTGCGTAATGCAGTTTTGGGCATCTTAATTCGATATATGGGCCCCGGATCTAAAGGGGTCCCAAAATTTTGCATATTCATGTTCTTAAGAATTTCCATAAGTTCACATTTTTTTCGAAAACTTTTGAAATCTTTTACTAAACCATATAACTCATATCCCTCTAGTTAAAGAGACACAATCATTTTATCTTTTTATATTTTTTTAATCCAAATTGGATATTTTTAGAAAAAGAGGACATAAAATTTTGGCTGGGCAAAATGGGGGGGGGGCTAGAATTTCATTTTTAACATGGCACAGAGAAGAGGATTAAGGGGAGAGGGGCTAAAAATCAAGCTTGCTTGTTTTTGGGCCTATATGACAAAGGTTTTACGAATTGTCTGAAAAGGTTAATTGTTGTAAAGTACTAATTATATATTCCAATTTTAAACTAAACTGTCAATTGATTTTAGATTTCGATATGCGGATAGACGACGATCACATCCCGTATGCCTTTCGCTGCGAAGGAGTTTCCATCGTGTACGAAGGCTTGAAAGCGGAGTACCTGAAAGTCCATAAGAAAATTCCAAAAGCGAAACAGCAGCAAGCTGGACTTGGAGACAGGGGCTCATGGATGAGAGTAAAGGACAGTCATGTCGATATATTTATCGAAAACAAAAGTAGGCCAGGAGTACCTATCGTGAAGGTGGTGGTTCAAAGAGAGAAAACCGCATTTGCCGAGGTATGTACTCAGACCAATACAAGCTGGCTCTACACTTTGCTTTGTAAGAAAATTGTCAGCCTCGTTTAGAGAGAAGCCTCTTTTCGAAAGCGCCTCGTTTAGAAGGTAGCTTCATTTAAACATTGTGACTATGATTTCGAAGGTAGTCTCATTTAGAAGGCAGCCTTTTCCTGCCTTCTTCTGTTATTTGTTTTCCATCATTCTGAATCACTTCGTAAGTGTTCTGTATCACTTTTGTTGTTATCAAGATTTACTACGTCAGAAATGTACCAAACATTACGTCGTTGATCTATGATCTATGCTGTCACTTCTAAAATTAATGTTTCTACATCACCAGGCACGCCAAATGAATGACGGGGACAAGAAGATCGTGCGGGGCGAGGTGACCATACCGTACGAGTGCAAAGCAATAAGCGCATCGAGCTGGAGACTGTCACTCGATCTTGACACTGTTTACATGGCATCTGAAGGAGGCGTCAACAAAGAGGTCTATGCCTTATGTCCTTCGAATATCGAAAAGACAAACAAGTTTCAGCTGGTTACTGAAGTTTATGTCAGACAGGTTGACGAGTTTGGCAAGCAAGTGGATATGCTAATCGGAAAGAAGGAATCAAAGCCATTTCTGTTGAGAACGGAGCCCAGGCACCCCCCAGCTAACAAAACAGGTTTCGTGTCATTTCATGTTATTCGCAACTGTCTCCATTAGCGTTGACGCCTGTGTTTGAAGGAATTCTTATGGTTATCGTTCCAAATGTGATCACCTTTATATAGGGATCCATTTCGGTATTGCTGCACACGCTAATGTTACTCGTGCCATTTAGCTCATTTAAAATCTCTCGTGCGCGCCTAGCATAAGGGGATCCATTTCGGTACCGCTAGAATTCTTGAATTAAACTGTTTTTAGCTCTCCAGTTGGCAATCGAAGGCACTTTAAAATTGTTCCAAATAGAAAAAGAGCCCTTAAAAACGTGGCCTTATTTGAAATTAATGAGTTATCTGAAAATTACCATGTAAATAATTTAATGTTTATTTACACAGGAGCCATCACGAATGGTGGTTACTCTCCAAGCAGTTCATCAGAAGCCTCCCCGGAGCAAGTTGATTTACCTGACGGTATGAATATTAAAAAACTTTTAATAAAGCTGACAGATTAAATATTTATATATCACGGTTTTTAGGGCATTGTCAAAAACACATAGAACTGGTGCAGTCATGAACTAAGACAACTAGTTCATGGCTCTGAAAAAAGCAAACATTTCACAACATACAAAAAGCTGTTTCTTCTGACATTCCTCAGCGCATAAATAAATTTTATACCCAGTTGTCGATCGAAATAGACCAGTTAGTAAAACCCAAGCACATCACAGGTATAGTTATCCAGTTTTAATACTCCGAGGAGTTAGGGACTAAAACGCTTTTAGTACTTTGCGAAATGTTTGCTTTTTTAAAGCCATTTTATAATTTTGTACCATAAAAACTGTTCATAATCAGTTGTACGCGCGCACAAAAAATGTCAAGTCGAAATCGGCCTGAAAAAAGACATTTTTATTGACATGAATACGTACTATCTCATCAATTTTGTTCCCATGCACAGGTAGTTTCAACAATCTTCGTGCCAACACAGCCGATTTTCATACGCTTAGCGCCCAAGTGGTTTCGTCTTCAAATCGCGACATTGGATATCATATTCCGCTAAAGGATTTGAGCCAGAAGGGAAAACTAAAGGAAGGCGATGTCGTTGTGTTTCTTGACGATGAGAGCAACAGAACGAAGATTGAAAAAATGAATGAAAGTAATTACAAGAATGCCAAGCTTGCTGGGGTGATCACACGGAGCTACTATCTTGAGGGGCGATGCCCAGAAGCAGACAAAGGTGAGTTTTAGCAACAAATTAAATGGGAAAACCTTGAGGTCACATGCTAAGATTCATTTCAATTACACAAAAATATCCATCAGTCCCTTAAACAACTGGCTAATGGCGTGGTTATTCACTAAACTATTTAAAGCAATTTGAGCCTGTCTTGCAATTTTATGACGAATACTGCCGATTTTTAGCACTAAAAATTAAGTTTACTTCATAAATATGATTGTGGCGCGCATGAAAGATTGAAGTAACAAATTCTTTTAATGTTAAGCAACCCTGTATGCGAGGATGTTTAGATACGAGGCTGGCTCCGTGAATAGGGTAACAGACTATAGATCCAAGGGTTCAAGTCGCTGATATGACCGTGCTTTCACCCAGAGTGGGGGAGTGGCCAGCTCTCTTCAATTCCAGGTGTAGAAATCACGAGGTGTGGTCACATGGAGAGGAAGGAGCAGGACAATACTCGATAAGCATGCCTTCTCAGTGTCCTAAAAGCTACCTTCGGGGGCTAGGTAGCGACAATTACAATCCTTGTGTGCACACCAAATCTTTATGTGTTTCATAATCGATAAAAATGCCTATGTTGATTTGATATACGGGTATACTTATTTCTAGGCGAGACCGATCTAGTTTGCATTATCGGTATCGTAAAGGTTCGAGTGGTGGGCCCTGTATACAACGGAGAACAGCTTTATGCGTACCCTGAGAGGCATGGCGTTGCTGCTACGCGTTCAACCATCTCGCTTGATCGAAGTGACGTCAGCCAGAGGCTTCTTCTCCTAGGTAAGTCACTAAGCTTCTTCATGGATTTTGCTTATACAAGTATCAAGGGCAAATGGCTCATTCAGAGTATAATAGTCCGTCCAGATTACAAGAGTAGAATTTGGCTTTGAAAAAGCAAACATTTGAGTGAACTAAAACTTCTCGTCTGACACTCTTCAGAGTTTGAAACTTGAGAACATAGATCGAAAACTAAACTGGCAATTGACCATGAAGTTATCGTTGGTGTCGTTGGACTAATGAAGTTTAAAAGACTCTTAGTAGTTGTACAACAACAGTGAAGAATAGATTTAAGAAGAGTGAAAGACTAAAACTACACAAGTATTAAAGCGAAATAAGGTATTTCCATGTTTATTGATATTACCTGCAGCTAAATAGGATTAATAAGTAAGCTCGTTTCACCACAGGACAAGCTTTGGAATCCAAGCCAGATACCGGGATACAGGAAGAAGCCCTCGTTTCATCTTTAATATCTGTTGTTAATGGGATTGACAGCCTCGCTATGACACAGAAAGTATCAGATTTGCATGTGAAGATCGATGATACTATAAAGAGGACAATGGCAAATACTACTAAAAAACTGAAACGACGTATGTATGACTCTTACTTGCAGTCCAATTCAACTATGTTCTTATGTGTGTCCATGCGCTGAAACGTTGCAGGACTGGGCACCAATGTAAAACCAATGTTTACTAATTTATGATAATTATGATAACTTGCAGAATATGCAAAAATAAGGTTTTGAAGTAATGTATTATTTGAAAGACCTCCTTTTGTAAATTTTGAGTTTCGAACGAAAACCACTTGTTTGCTGGTATAAATTTTGTTATCGATCAGTTTTGATACTTTTAGACATGTTTTGGGTGAAGCTTCTGTTTCTGCTGATACTGGCAACAGTTGGCATTGCGCTTTGGCAGAGGTATGCTCCCAATACGCTGTTCCGGAACAGTGCCTGTAAAAAGGGCTCACTTGACGAGAAAACAATGGTTCTTTCATTTAATACATCTTGGGAGGTAAGGATTTTTCCTGTTCTTCTTTAATATCGATCAGCTTGTATATAAATCTTGCTTTCATAGTTTGTCAAAGGCCCACGTTCTACGGACGAAACATTGTGCTAATGGATAAAATTCGTTTTTAATTATTAGAAGACACAGGTGATTTACTTGATTTACTTGAAATTATGCACTTGTTGTAATGCTAAGTTCTTTGGTAGGTTGGTAGGTAGCTAAGGTAAGTTGTTGAAAAGTAGAAGGAACTGTTAACGTGTTTTTGTCTTTTTCACTGTGAACATGTGCTGTTTTTTCACCTCAGTTGAGAAGAACGAGTTCACTTGTGTGCATTGTCCAGTGGGGCTGTCGATGCAAGGCACCTTAGAATTTCACTAAGCGTAAATTGCTAGTCATTTTAGACATCTACATTTCTTGAACAAAACGATGTGTCATTGGGGATTGCCAATGGGATGACTGGGATAGTGTAGGGTGTGACTGGTTTAAGAAGTTCTTTTTGGAAAGATACAATAAATTGCTGAAAAACGTTAGGAGGGGGTGTTAGGGTAACTTAAAGGCAAAAGATTGGATCTTAACCATAAATCCGTATATTAGAAACGGGAGTCTTGGTTTGAACTGATGAAAATTTCTGTGAAGCTTGTCACCCTCTGTAACCACCCACCCCCCACACCAAGGAAAGGTCTCTTTGTATAATTTTTTCCTTAAAATTGGATTTCATCGTAACTTATTACGTAAAAAATGATGCTAATGTGACATAAAATCTTGTTTTTTTGCAGAAAGTTTCGATAACAGCTTTGGAGTTCACATTTGAGAGCCTTAAAACCAAGGTTTACAATAGCGATGATCTTCATCCACGCAAAGGTATAATAAACTCTTGTTGGCTTTTGTCTGAAATAAAGTAACTAAAACAGGTGTTACAATCCCTGTCAAATGTCTTTGAAAACTGAGGTCATTTTAAAAGGGCAAATTGAAACATTCCCCTCTCCCCCAGAGAACAATGTTGGTTTCCACAAAAATATGTAGGATATAAGGGAAGACATTTTTTCGTGTGACTAATGCGATATTTGCCTAAACTATCAACATTGTACTGGCGAAGGAGGAGGAGGCAAAAGTGGTAATCACGTTGAAGATGTTTTTAGATTATTTAAAAGTTTTTGAACATTTTTGTACCAAGGTTCGTAAAAATCAAACAAAGTTTAGTACACCAAACTATCTCGTTAGCGACCTTGATAAAAGCAGGCTTAGAAAACAAAATCAACAAGTCACGGCATTTGTATTCTTCCCACTGAAGCGGGTCTTACGTATTAACCCTGGATTTAACTTAATTATTATCAGGCAGGAGTGGGTTTAATGATGGTGGCCATTTTTGAAGGATTTGGTTTAACTCGACCATTTTTTGCATCAAATTCAATTATATTTCATTCAACATTTAATTATAATTATCTCATGAGGCATATCTTGTTTTCCACAGAAAAAGGAATGCGCTATTTCATAAACTACAAAAGATGTTGCAACCGGGGTGTGAGTTACGGTAACAAATATGTGGATGACACCGTGACCGTTGCGGGACCGGAAGTGCTCAGTAGCGATCAGGCGTGCAAACCGGAGTCGGTTAAGTATTTGAATGACGGTCAGTGGGTACGATTGCAAAATGCTAAGCGGAAAGTTCTTATCGATAACTGCAATAGCTCGCTATGATTATACTTTTTAAGTAAGCAAGTATTGAACATTGCTAATACTTAAAAAAAAACAAAAATCAGTTTAACAGCCTATACAATGAGCCTGTGTAAAACACGGAATTCCAAGCTACGCTCGTGAGCGCTTGCTCGGTCCAACTCCAGTTCACTGTAAACCTGAAACTTCCTACCCGACGACAACAAATGGAAATTACTGTCTTCTATTACGTTTCAACTAGTCTGGGTCGTCTGTTATAGTCCGGGTCATCTGTTATGGCCCGGGTCGTCTGTTATAGTCCGGGTCGTCTGTTATAGTCCGTTTCGTCTGTTATAGTCCGGGTCATCTGTTATAGTCCGAGTATGCTTATTGTATGGTTCAGGCCAAGGGTAACATGGGGAATTTCGTTGCCATTATGTGGTGAGCTGGAGTTGCAGCTAACTGGATCTTGGAATTCAGTGAAAAAATTTGATAAGCACTAGAATATCAGAAAGCTTGAAGTTGTTCTGTGGACGGAACAGGATGTTTTCGAGATACTTAGGGAGGCTATTTTCAGAGACTTCTGGTTTCCTAAGGGCATTACTTGTAGGGTACTGAAGCCGCAAAATTTTATGAGGCAACCCCCGTTCATTGGCTTATTTTATTTACAGTATATAGATATTTAGTCTACTCGATAGTAAATATGCAGCAAGAACGCTTTAGTATTTATTTTTGACTATAGTTAATCGTACAGTAGCCGTAGCCATAATCTGCAGTTTGTGTTCGTTTACATGTTATCTAAATCTGTGTTTGAATACATTTATACATTTAATAATCAAAATATTTTATGGCACGATATTATCAAATTCTGCTGCACGAGGAATATGAAGATAATAAAATTCTATTGTGGTGCGAAGGCCAGTTATCATTTTTAACCAACTTCAGATAGCGTAACCAGGCCTATTTTTAATTCATATTGACGCATCTAATCCTTTTTTGATAGATAAGAAACACCTCATTTTATTTACTTAAGCCATTTTCCTTTTTGAACATGTGAACTGACCACCTTTACTATTCCGTTGTCTCACGTGAAGCAATTGCATGAAAATAAGATTTTGTCGTCATTTTGTCGCATTTTAGCACAAAAGCAAAACATATTCCAAGTCCGTCTGTGTAAGCACCTTATATCAAGTGTAAGCACCTTAAGTCAAGATTCATTCAACCTAGATTCCAGACTCCTCTTTGTAAATAAATGGCAAACGTATATTTTTTATATAGTTTTAGACATTTAAACATTGTTACACTAAGTGAAGTTTTAAAAACAATACTCTCCATTGAATTATGTTTTTCAATTACCAAACAAATGATAGAAGTGTCGATTATTTGTTGTCCAGCTGCTTCAACGTCTGTGTAACGAAGGGAAATTTAGGCTTAAACTCAGACCCCGTTGGGGAGATGAGCTCAAAGATAAAGTTTCTCGCAACCCAGTTTACTTTAAACCCCAGCCAAACGGACAGCAATAAATTCAGTTCTTGAATGCTCATAAACCTCTCCGAAAATTCCATTCAAATTCGGACTAAGTTACTCCGTTTAGAAAAAAATTCACTTGGAAAATTTAAGCTCCACAGTTTTCAAGTATCCAGCTCCGTTTATCAGTCAAAGTCTAGCAATTTTCAACAACTTTTCAAGCAACGTTTAGTGCGACTATCAGCGGAGGTGTTGGCGGTATCAACAGGGTTAGCATCATCGTAAGGGGAAGTGGGGCTTGTGGTACAGCGACTTTTCGTGACAGTGAGACCCAGATGGCATTGCAATAACTTCTAGCGAGATACATTTGTAAAAAGCTTTGCTTGCGCGAGCGGTGGGGGATTCAAATACTATTTTATCAAAGATTAGGGGAAGTGTTCATTTAAGAATACAGAACCTTTTCGCAGATTGAAGCCAAATAATGACAAAATTTACGGATTACAGAAAATACTGGAGGCAAGTCCTACCTTAAGCGACAGTTATAATAAAGATTATTTCTAAAATGACACTGTTACTATTTTCAGCATTCCTGCTTGCTGACCTGATAATTAAAAAATTAATACAAAGCTGTGACTAGCTTTATTTCAATTGGGCGTCAATGAAAGTAAAATGATTATAGTCGTCATTAACATAATTTTTTCTAAAGCTTTTAAGACAGGCCGTAAGAGACCAGGTCACCATGGCAACCAGGTCACCATGGCAACCAGGTCACCATGGCAACCAGGTCACCATGGCAACTAGGTCACCATGGATTCGGGAAAATGGCCAGCACCTACTAGCTAACTATCGAATTTCGCTAATTGGCAGTAGGCAGCGATAAACTCATGACTAAAAAACTATGAAACCAGAAAAGTTCGTTCTTGGAACTAAAATTTTTGATTACGTACTTAAAAAGAAACAGAAAGACGATGACAGGAAAGGCCTGCACCGATCTGCACGTAAAGTTCCTTAACTTAAAAAAAGAAAGAGAAAGTGCCTTTTTCTCAGATATACGAAAATGAAAACTATTTTTTGTAGGGGCAAAGGAAGCACCATTACGACGGAAGTATAATCTTGAGGTTTCTTTCTCTGAGTCATCACTTGTTAGCCTGGTTGTGGTTGTACAAAAATACCTATTAAATGACAGCATGTCTTCCAAGCGACCGCCTATGCATCCGGTTGTGTAAAAAGTCCTATTAAACTGTTTTTCATAAGAAACTTTAGAAAAATTGAAACTATCCTTTTTATTATTGGTCGCAATTTTTTAGTCAAATGTTGTCAAAAAACTGTGTTACTAAGATCATTGAATATGCGGGATTTTTGGAAATATAATTTTCTGGGATTATATATTTCCAACATCTGAAAGCCCTATTGTATGGCCAACGGCTAACTCGGCGAGAGCCCGGCAAGGAGGGCGGATGAGCTACGACTCCAGGGGTCAACGGCTTCGGGCGGAAGGACTCCTGGAAAGAGGGATGGTGTCCCTTTAAAAACACTGTAGAGGTGGTTCTGGGGGCCCATCTCTACTATTAGCCCCTTGGTTTCATCTATGATCATGACAACAAACCAAAACTCAGATTTTGGGATAGTTGGAGGGTCATAGTAGCCAACCTTTTGATAGAAGATGGTACCTGATGATGATGATTATAAGGTTATGAATCCTTAATTTTCTAAATAAAACTCCATGATTTCCTGGACTATCTAATAGAAAATGGTCTTATTGAATTAATATGTGTAGCTTAAATGGGGCGTTAAAAGCAGGGGCGTTGAAAAAGGCCTATAGGGTTAGATTTAACAGGATAACAGCGTAAAATATATTGATCAGCCTCAAGTGCCATGGGTGCATAAAATCCAATAAGCTTTGATTTTCCAAACGTCTATTAAAATACATAGATACACGCTTTCATATACATGTCTGTTTTCATAAAACTGTTTCGCCTAATTTGTCATAATCTTTATTCGATTTTGCTTTTGTTTTAGAACATGAATTCGTTTCCATCTTCCGCTTTTTACTTTTTCTTCTTAAACTCCGTATACGAGTAATGTCCAAATCACCGTTCGCTTCCGCAGCGTCAAAATCAAACTCGCAGCTACTTGACCTGCGGAAATGCGTTAGTTTTTCGCTTGCGGCAGAGTTTTCCAGAACGATATCATCAGCTGATATTTTATTTTCTCTTTCAATGTGGTCATACCCGTCAGTGGAAAACTCTTCGTTTGATCTGGTTTCCCAAGCCAAATGCTTAGCTTCTAACGATATATCGTTTTTAATCGCTTTGACATTAGCAGAAGGGAGCGGCTTCGCGGTTACACGTTGCGGCACAGCATCGCTCGTACCATGTTCTTCTAAAAACAACGCGTTGGAAAATGACCTTGGACTTGAACTACTTGATGTAACTACAATCGACGGTACGGGAATAAAACTTCCTTTTGTGCTAGTAGCCACGACGGTATCTGGTTCATGTCTTTTGGTATTTTGCAAGCTATTTTTGTTGCATTTACTGTCCAAACATTTACCACCCCCAACGTATTCGCTAAAACCTGATCGAATGCCACTATCGCTTGATTTAGGCCCTTCTGAAGATACAGTTGACTCATCTGTGACTGGTGCCGTCACAGCAATCTTGTCTTGCGCGAATGCACGCGAGATCTCCGCGTCAATTTCCGCATCATATGCATCATCTTGCTCGCTATCAAGCTGAAACTCATTTGCCAAAACTACCGCGGCTCCTGATGAATTTTTGTGACAAGCGACATCGTCTGATAATTCGTCATCCTCGTTTAAAACTTGCGAACTTTGACGCAGCCATTTTGTTATTTCAGTGAAGTTTTCGCTAAAGTGATGGTTTTGTTGTGCTTTCTGGAGAGATCCCCGCCTTTGGAGAACTGCTTTCCTTCTCTCGAGATCTGCTATTGAATATTCTTCATCTTCTTCAGTCTCATCTATAGATCCAAGTGGCGTTCGACACACTGAAGACCTTGATTCGGCATCAAATCTATCTGTACCCCTCACGTGATCATCAGCGTGATCCTTTAGTGGTACGAACTTTTTTCTTGAGATCTTCAATGCCGATATCTTGATAGGTTCAACAGTTTTGCCACAAGCGTTGCGTGAAGAATGACCAGAGGACGATTTTCGAGTTGGGTCTCGCAAGCTGGCACTTTGTTTAATTTCATTACCAAATCCGGTTTGAATTGAGCCTCTGTCACCACTGGGCACTTTTTCATCGAAATTTGAACTGTCTTGGTACAACGGTGAAATGTCTTGTTTTCCAACTAAACAATTAGAATTTTCATCTGGAATATCAATAGCCAGTTGATGCAACATTCTTGATCGACGAATCTCTACAGGAGACACAGCGCTGACTGGCAACGAATCAGGGACTTTTAGGTGCTCATTTGAACCACCTGAAGACCTCAAGGATCCGTCAGAGGTCCTTTGCTGTTTCCTTATTTCAACTTTTCGTTTTACACCAAATGACATGTTCTTTCTAGCTACTGGTTTCCGATCCATCCCTATTTCATTTAAATACGTGAATGCATGTCCGAATCCTGTTATTTGAGCTGTCATACTTTTCCGCCTTTCTGCAAGAATCAACATTGAGGCTTTCCGCTGAATATGGACACTTTCACTTCGCTTAACCTCGTCCGGTAACCGCTTTGTAACGCTCCGTCTACGTGAGCTCTTTGCGCGCCCACCAGACACAGAGCAATAGACTTCATGGGATTTTAAAATTGTATCCAGATACCTAGATAAACAAGAGTCCGGCTCTGTTTCACAAGTGTCCGACCGCTCCCTTCCTGCGCTATAGTGACCATTGTTTTCATCTACGCCAGCACTTGCAATAACGATCTCTGGCAGCTGGACAGCATTTCGACGTCTAAATTTGCTTTGTTTGACAGTAGGCTCGCTTTGTTTACTAGCTGTAGGTGCAACTTTCAGTGGCCAATCCGTGCAGGTAAAGCTACTTGATCGCAAAACAGGGGCTTTATTTGCTCTCTCCTCGCCTAAGTCTGTTAAAGTAAACACTGATATTGTTTTCGGCCGTTCCTTAACACGAACTCTAGCAGTAAGCATTGGTTCAACTTGAACAGGAAGAAGCAATGGATATAAATCAGGATCTGAATTATTATGTCTTTTCTTTGACAGTGGCTTGTCTTTAATGAGACTGTCATCTGGATTTCCTGGCAAGAGGGACTTTGTTTCCCTCCCACATTCACTATTTGCTTCTACATCCTTGCTATAGAATAGACGTTGCTTATCTGGAGACCCAGGCTCGCTATCTTTAAACAAACGGTCGAACAGCCGAGAAAAGCTGGTAAAAGATAAACAGAAAATAAACACACAGATAGAAGTTTGAAGGGACGTAAAGAAAACACAATAACTGCAATAATTTCAAAAGAGAACGGAGATTCCGAAACCTAAACTTTTATGAATATTTGTATCAAACAAAAGTATTTCAATATGCTATAAAATAAATGTTTTAAATATTTCACATTCACATGTTTTCACTTTATCCGGAAATTTTGGCGTTTTGCAGCACCAGAGGATGATAAAATTTGCATAACGAGGTAACTGAATTTGAAAACGGAACAGGAAAAAATTCACCTTTCAATTTCCCTAGCTTAAGTTTATCCTCCAGTACTTATCACTATTATCATCTAATTCAATAGCTATAATTAGGGAGCTAAAAAAGATTCAAATGTTTTATATAATTGCCAGTAATATAATTTATATAACTGAAGGTGGTTTTAGGACACTGAAAGCTATGCTTATCCTGCAGTGCTCTGGCCCTTCCTCTCGAAGTGATCACACCTCGCGATTCCTTCGTCTGGAATTGCAGAGATCTGGACACTCCCCTCACTCGGGGTGAAAGTTTGGTCATGTCTAGGAATCAAACCACAGATTTTTGGATCTGTAGTGAGCGACCCTAGCCATTGAGCCATCTTCACATTTGAATGATTATGATTATGATGATTATCATATCATTATGATGCTGACGATTGAAATGATGACAAAGATGGTTAAAACACAACTTATTACTAACCTTGTTTTGCCAGCCACTGCAGCTCTCTTCATTGATCCAAACCATTTTTTCATCTTATTTTTGTATCGCATTTCAAGCAGAATCATAGTGGAGAGCAAGAAGATGACTAGCATTGCCAGCAGAATCGTCATATTTTGATACGGGTTAACCTTCTCAAAGCCAAATTGTTGCAAAACTGCTATTCCCATGTTTGATTGACACTCAAGCTTTGATTGACTGCTGCAGTCGAATATGACGTCATTGATGAGCACCTTCATTGTGGCGCTGTAGGCCCAGTGAGTTGGGTTTACATAGAACAGCCAATAGTAAAAGGCAGGCATTTCTGGTTCAGGGACGAGAAATCCACCAGCGAAGCCAGATACAGCTGATAGCATCGGGCAAATGAGGGTGGAATATCGAGGGATGGCGCTTGCTGACAGCATAATGATTGCGATCCACACGTGGTTTAGTTGAAGGTGTATCAGAGTGGTGACGAAAAACTTCCAGAAGTCGAGCTCAACAACGGTACAAAGGTAGATTATCGTGCAGCTGAGAAACAGGGGCAAGACAGTAACTGCCGCAATGCGAATGAAAGTATGGAGAACAAGTTCGCGCGAATTTCCAACTCCTTCCGCTTGCTCAAGGGCGAATAGAGGAAAGGCTTTACCTAAATGTGTATGTATGACCGACGCCATGAATAGCTGGCTTGCACACAAAAACACTTGATAGCAGCTCATCAGAAGAATGCCGCTGTCTGTTTGCCAGTACACACTACCTGCGGAGGAGATGAAATAGGCATCTTCAGCTGCGTAAAACATAATATACGAAGGAGGGTTCGAAGGTTTGCTGAGAGACGCATTGCAGTTAAACACAACCAAGAAAAATTGCTTACTACAGCGCTGGAGAATGAGAGGAAGGTCAATAAAAGGAGATAAATGCCACACCCAAACCAATCTTCCTAGAAACAATTTAATTAGGCGTTGTTAGCGTGTGGTAGAATAGGTTCAAAATCTTTGGTTGGTTGAGATTTGTAGGTGTTGCTGAAAACGTAATAAAATAAGCCTAAATCGACCTGCGAGGCAAATTGGTTGTTGAATTCGTGTATGCTGTCTTTTCATTGCAGTAGGAGAATTCAAGTTTCACATCCGATCAAAGATTTGGAACCTATGCTGCATGTGGCAGTTCAAAGTCTTTTCTCACTGATCTTTCTCAGAGTCAGTTGCTTTCTCCCTTCTGAGGTTGAATAACTGCCGCCAAAATTTCAATATTGGAATGGGCACACAAATCTGCGCATGTTGGATCCATACGGATCCGATCCCGTGTAAACACCTCCTCAAAAATGAGTTCGGATCCAAATGGATCCGATACTGTTTGGATCCGACCCCGTGTAAACAGGGCCTTAATCTTATTCTGATCATTTTCCAATCAAACAATGATCCAAAGCATGATTTATATTCATTTGCACAAATCTCTAATTAGATTATCCCTAATCACAGGTCAATCAAGCGATCACTGCTGTACCAGATGACACGACCTCTTGAATTGTATGCAATACAGATAGCTATGACTCCAGGTGATCCTAATCATGTTACATCCAATTTTATCCAATCACACTAAATCGCATTACAAAGCTTAACTTATTCTTTTCAATTTGGAACCTATCATTTCTCAAATGACCTTTTTACGGAAATAAAACATAAGTTAATTTTCAGCTTGTGTGGCCAAGCAGTAATAAACTTAAAGGATGTGTTTTTGTTGGCAATTCGAAGGCAACTTATTGCATTAAAGTTGCTATGGCATTCGATGATCATTTTAAGAGCTACCGCACTAGGGGGTTTCCTTGAGCAGGGACGATAAAATGCAATCTACTGAAGCTGTTAGAAATCAAGTCACTGAAATAAAGCAATCTGTATCGAGTCAGGAAAAATCGACTGCTAATACCTGACATACCAAACTGGCTGTTTATTTTAGAATAATTTAAAGAAAGTTGATTAATAGTTATTGAGTGAATTACAGTTAGTAGGACCAAGTTAATTTGGTAGTTAACACAGGTAACATGGGTTATATGGGTAAAAGGAAATGGGCAAAACATTCGCCAAATTTAACCTTCATGGCCTAAACAGCACAGAACTTAATAAACGAAGTTTTAAGCTTAATTTTCGAGTGAATACAAAGTTAGAAGCACACAACTTTGTCAGGTTACCAAAATGTCTATCAACTAAATATACTGCTTATTGTGCTGTGGCGATCATAAAAGGGTTGATCGATAAAAGTTAGGCCTTAGGAACATAAATAATGACGACAACCTACCTAAAGCAAGGCCATACAGCAGGAAAATAATGAGCAAGTAGAGCTTCTGTGCTATCGTCTGACATTTGGAAGAACGGCAGTCAAATGCAAGCAGTCGGTCGGAGAGGCTTGAAGAGTACCTGCGAAAGATTGAAGGTGTAGTAACATTTAAACACCTCTTAGATCACTTAGATTATTGGAGAAAAATTCACTCAAAATCTTTGTCTATCCCAGAAGGTTCGATAACAGCCTCAAGACGTATTGAAGGAGCTGTGAACGTTTTCATTAAAAAAAACTGTTTAAAAATCTTTTAGACCACTAAGAGTTTTGAAGAAACTACCTTCCGAGTCCTGGTTTACCTCGCAAGGTTCGATAAAAGCCTTAAGACATATTGAAGTAACTGTGAACGATTTTGTTAAAGAAAACAGTTATTCTAACGAAATAACGAAATAAACGTTATTCTAGTGCAGATCACCCATGGAGTTGATTAAAATAAAAAACGTGGGGTTGAGTTTCTTCTATAAACATTGCACCCTTCCTCTTGCAGAAAGAACCCATTAGCGGAAACAAAGATGTAAATTTTACCTTTTTATTTTCATGCTCAAAGTTTTAACCGGATTCTTCGTTGCTTTTTGCACGGCTTTTTTGATAGCCTCGACTTCGCCGCTTTCCTGGTAATGCTCCACAATCATTTCTTGTGATTTCTTAAAGACTAAGACGTCCATTATGGTGTCCGCAGGATTGGAGGCGTCTAAAACCTAAAGATTGGACTTTGATAAAAAAGTTTCTACTTGAAAGAACTGAAACCTGACAAAACATGACGGGGCACGAGGAGGAACGATCGGTAATGTTTCATTTTGATACCCACCTAAGTAAGCATTTTAAAACATGAAGGATTTGGAATCATGAGGAAAACCTTTTTGAGCAAGTGCTTTTGTTTTCAAAGACACAATGCAAATAAAGAAAGCCTCCTCAAAATCAAACTTGCTCTTAACCCTCTTGTGGAATACTCTTTAATTGAAAAAAATTTTCTGCTTAAAATCAGGAAAAACTTTAATAAATAAATTGCAATAATCAAAATATCAAACGTTTTTCTTAGCTTACAATAAAGCTTACTTACTAAAATTTATGTCTTTGGTTAATTATAGTTAAATATAAAAAGCATACCGGATTCATTTCGTATCGGATCGCTTTACGTGTGAACAGGGTGAATCCGGTATCGTGTGAACAGGGCCATAGGTTCAGGACAAATAACTTTCGAAACTTTCGATTGTCAACCCAAGCATTTTATTTATAGGAAATCTTTCATAGCAAACAAATTTTATTTATAGGAAATCTTTCATAGCAAACAAATTTTATTTATAGGAAATCTTTCATAGCAAACAAATTTTATTTATAGGAAATCTTTCACAGCAAACTGTGATGTTGGTTAACTGGCTCTAGTTAAAAATGTTTCAAAACCACTGTGCAGTGTTTTCACTTGCCTTTATCAAAGAGAATCATATAATACAGTAATCCCGAGTTTTAGGAAGCTGATGCTACGAATTAATAAACGAATTGAGATACAAAAATGCAACCAAAACCAACAAACCTCTCCTGAACTCTGCAATGCCTCAGCAATCATTGTTGGCGCCATAATCGGTGAGCCGTAATAGGCAACCTAGAAAGAAAAAACATCTTGGAATGTATTCATTTGTATAAAATAAGATAATATAAATAAAATATAAAATAAGAAAACTGTTCTGGCTGTTATTTTTCTGCATATAAAAATGGTTCTGGGGGCCCATCTCTACTATTAGCCCCTTAGTTTTATCTATAATCATGACAACAAACCAAAACTCAGATTTTGGGATTTTGGGATAGTTGGAGGGTCATGGTAGCAAACCTTCTGATAGAAGATGGTACCTGATGATGATACAAAAATGGGTGAGTACGGTTTACTTTATTCCTTAGAAATAAATCTGACTACAGATGCATGTGTATTTTATGACTTTATCGAACTAAAGGTTTCTAAAGATTAGGTAACTAGAAAAAGAGAAACAAATACCATAAGAAGAAAACCAGAGCCTGGAAAATATTTCCATAAATATGAAATATTTGAAATGCTATCTTATCTTACAGGAAGCATTTTACGGGGAAGAAATGAATCTCAAAAAATGTAACTAGAACGTATATTGAAAATGGCATCTGTCTAAAGCCCATGTTGTGATTTCAATAGAAAAGATTATGAAATACTGTTTTACTGATCTATCAATAGAGTGCTCAATTTTCTATATGCATAGCAGTAGAATAGGACGGTTCTAAGTTGCAACTCTAGAGATTTATGTTGGCTTATTGCAGTTGCTTGATGATAATATTAAGCGTGAAACTCAGAACCACCCTGTTCTATACACCAAACATACAGAAAAGTTTAGATACATACATGACCCCCACACAGGAACAAAATCCGGTCAAACATGTGGAATATTTCAATCCTGGGCTGATGGATTGTTAGGATCACAAGTCTGCCCGAGAGGGTAAGACCATGCAAGGTTTCAAGAAGCTCAAGTGAAGATGCCGAGTCTAAGCCTGAAAAAATGACAATGGAACCAAATTATTACGAGACGAATGAATCGACTTGTAAAGGAGCAAGTGATAAATAGAGCTTTCTGTAGTTTAGTCAAAAATCTTTTATTGATTTAAAAATATTGCGGTCTGGAACAGCTGATTGTTTAAGTTTTGAACTTTTTTAGAATCCCTAAAACAAAATTTCGACATCTTCTCACAATCTAAAACCAATATCGATATCTTACATAATTGCGCTAAAAAATAGACAGAACTTTCTTGATCAACTTTTGCCTGCAGCTTGTGAAATCGAAGAAGCATTTGCAAAAATATATTGTTTTTATCAATCAAAAAATATGTAGCAGACACGCCTGTTTTTTAGCAAATAAAACATCGTTGAAGTGTAAGTATTATGTAAATGCTGACCTGATGTAGGCTCATCCAAGAAGAGAATGCTGGGAACACGCAAAAGCTGAACTGCCACGCAAAGACGGCGTTTCTGGAAAACACAAATCGATCACAATCACTCGTATAGAACGGAAAAATTAACTGAAGACGACATTCGAATATACGAGAATGGGGTGCTCATAGTCAAGACTACCCAAAAGAACAATTTTCATATTTAGTAATGAAATCAAAGAACATGTATTCTGCGGGATGAAACGAGCATTTTTTTCTTCATATTAGTGTGCATATATTTACATATACATAAATTCTGTATTTGCGTATATGTATATATATATATGTTTATTTTTATTAGCTTTTTCCAAGCATAGCGGTCAAATCTTTGATTGGCTGAGAGCTCTGTTCGCTGCCATGTTCTAAGCCAATCAGCACACAGGATTTTCACAACAAAACCGCCTCGCAGCTAGAATTAGGCCCATTTTCGCCATTTCAGCGTGTTTTTACCACATTGTCTACAAAAAACATTGCACGCCTCTATAAAGCGAATTTCCACTTTATATTTTGTCCAGTTCATCATCATGCGTTGCTATTTAACCTATATTGGCGCTACTGTTCGATCGCAAAGAATAATATACAAAAACACCTCGCAAATGATCGGTAAATTTCGTGTCGAGATTCAGGTTAATTAGGTTTTTACCTCTCCCCACCCAAAACGCTAGAGACATTTCACATTTAGACAAAATCAATTATATACTTACCTTAAATATAGGAATGGTTCATAATCCGGTCAAAGATGCACTCACTGTTCAGCCTTAGATTCGGCGGGGATCGCCAATTTAATTATCACAACGGTACGAAGGCTCTCATATTCACCCTCGAAATCAATAAATGTATCTTTGTCCTCTGGAATCAAAATCTGCTTCATAAAAGTGAAAAATTTTCAGTAACAGCCCAAAGTAATTTCAATCATGATTGTCCAGACAATTGACCATTATTACTAATTTTATGTGATGAAAATGGCGAATACACTCACGCGGTAAGACTGGGATCTAATAAAATTTGAAAACGGCGGGAAAATCAATTTAGAAAAATTGACGAAAACGCATCCTTGAAATTTTCCCGCCGTTTTCAAATTTTATTAGTTCCCAGTCTTACCGCGTGAGTGTATTCGCCATTTTCATCACATAAAATTAGTAATAATGGTCAATTGTCTGGACAATCATGATTGAAATTACTTTGGGCTGTTACTGAAAATTTTTCACTTTTATGAAGCAAATTTTGATTCCAGAGGACAAAGATACATTTATTGAGTTCGAGGGTGAATATGAAAGCCTTCGTACCGTTGTGATAATTAAATTGGCGATCCCCGCCGAATCTAAGGCTGAACAGTGAGTGCATCTTTGACCGGATTATGAACCATTCCTATATTTAAGGTAAGTATATAATTGATTTTGTCTAAATGTGAAATGTCTATAGCGTTTTGGGTGGGGAGAGGGAAAAACCTAATTAACCTGAATCTCGACACGAAATTTACCGATCATTTGCGAGGTGTTTTTTATATTATTTTTTGCGAACGAACAATGGCGCCAATATAGGTTAAATAGCAACGCATGATGATGAACTGGACAAAATATAAAGTGGAAATTCGCTTTGTAGAGGCATGCAATGTTTTTTGTAGACGATGTGGTAAAAACACGCTGAAATGGCGAAAATGGGCCTAATTCTAGCTGCGAGGCGGTTTTGTTGTGAGAATCCTGTGTGCTGATTGGCTTAGAACATGGCAGCGAACAGAGCTCTCAGCCAATCAAAGATTTGACCGCTATGATCTTTTTCCATATATTTCTTTTCCATGCTCTTATATCCATCTTCCTATTCCATTTGTCGAATTTCATATTCCTTTAACGTTTTTTAGTTCTATGATCGCTTTTCAATTTTACTTGATAACGGGCTTTGCTCGAAACGTCGTTATAAATTTAAAAAAAAAATTTCCTGTTACAATTTCATCACATTGATCGTTATTATAGCTTTATATGGTATCGCATGCAATATAGTATACAGATAAAGTTCATTCTTGTACACCAGCTGCCTACAGAGAGCAGGAAAGTTCAAGAACACAATTGAGCTTTGAGATAATACCGTTTTAGCAATCAGATATTAAATAGGTTTATGAACTCAGCAAATAACACGAAATATTGCTCCTCATGGGAAGTAACTTGTGTATAAATGATTTGTGGTGAAACGCAATACGATAAAGGCTCGTAGCAAGCTTATTGAATTGATGCCAAATAGCTCTGCTAGTATGAATTTCATGCACCTCTAAGGCCTTTGAGTAAGCAAGATTTTATATTCGTCTTTTAACTAGCTTAACAGTTTTTCAGTTTTGAAGTTTTTGGCTGGTCTTTAGACAAAGATTTAACATCTGAAACTTCTCTTAAACTGAAAAAAATAATTGGAGAGTTGATGACGTACCTGCCCTCCGCTCAGCCCAGGCCCCACAGCGCTCCCAACGACAACATCCGCGTAGTCATTCAGCCCAGTCTATAGAAATGACAATTTTGAGGTATGAAGACTCTTCACAGTAGCATCATCAACAACAAAAACGATACAAAACAAAAAAGCAACAACAACATCGTCATAAGCATAAACAACAGCCACAACAGCATGAAGTAACAATCTCTGAGACATCATCTTGGAAATTCTGATAATTACAAACTAAAGTGTCTGATAATTCTCAATTGAAACTTATCGACATAGAAAGCTTCCTTTCGTTGAACAGCACATATAGGCCATTTCTAGCTCTTATGAAACAGTTACCTAGTTACCTAAGTCACAATAACATGATAATGTGTCACAATTTTACAGCGAATCTACCGTACTTTCACTACCAATAGTCTCACCTGTCCTATCACCTGTTCTACTCTCATCAGTTTGTTTTTGATTGACATTGTCTTTGGCAGTCTCATCAAGGCACTGAAGGTCAAGTTCTCCCTAACAGTCAGCTCTTCGTAGTACGGAGTAGCTAACTGCATTACATAACCACTGTTACTCTTAAACCAATCTCGTGTTTCGCTGTTGTTCAGGCCATTTATAAAAACCTGTTGTAAAATGCGTTCATAAATCAAATTGACGTCACAAGGGTGAGGAGGTAGGACACACATGATGTTTAATGTCAAACAAATAACAGCCTCACACTTGACTGAAACACAGCCTTACCAAACCGCTACAGTTCCCTGGCCAATTAGATTCCATACGCACACAACTATTGTCTGCGGACAAAATATTTCTAGATTCGAATCTTATTGCTGACGTCATAGATATGAAGAGACTCTGAGGGTATTAAGTGATTTCGTTGTTCTCTAGGAGACTGAAAACTACAACAAGGGAAAAATCTTAAATAAGAACATCCAAATTTTTTAAATTCCATGTTTTTCATATTCGAAAAAAAATTATCCAATGAGTTTTCAAGTGTTTATTTTTGAGGAAATTTCATTGAATAAATAAGTCACAGTGCACCGTAGCAAAGTAACTTTACTCCAACACAGAATTACAAAAGCCAAGACTTTTGATTATTATTTTAAAGAAGCCAGGACAACTGACATCCAGAGTGACTTGCACTTCTTATTAATTACTGAAACTGTTCTTTACCGGTCTGTAATAAAGAGCTGGTTGCCATATAGGCAGGGCTGTACACGTTTGCCTGACAATCGCATTAAACGTGACACTAGGAGTTGAAGCTTGGGCCGTCCTGCTCTATACACCGAAGTCATTTCTTAGGTTAATCTACATTGGATGTAAAACTACAGCGTTTTACAATTTGGCATGCATGTACAACTGCAACCACTCCTCGACCCGACCTTGCAGAGAAACGTGGCATGTTACAGGAACATATCACAAGAAACAAGCAGGCACGGAGCAGGGAATGGCATTATCTTTAGTGTAAAGGTCATCTCTTTAGTCAGTGTGTTGATAAAAGCAAAGTTTGGTCTTTGTGGTACACGAAAAATGATTTGGTTTTCATTGATGACATAGAAATTCCAGGTATCATAGAACAAAATAATTTACGATTTAAATACAAGTTATTTACAGTACAAATATAGGTTTTATTTGACAGTTAATTAAAGCTAGTAAATCTTGATATTTGACTTGGACGGGTAAACCTTTGCTTAAAGGAAATCAAAGAGATCAAGTATTCTAGCTGTTGACATGCGAAAGAAATGTTTAAAATGTTCTGAGACATAACTGCATTGAGATAACTGGTTCAATCTTCAAAGATGCACAGATTTTGAACAATATGCAGAGAAAAATTTGTGTCCTTAAACTCTTTGCTGCAAAGAAGCAATGCACGTATCATTTTGACTGTTCCTAAAGAAACATTGATCAAAATAAGACGAAAAATGCTTTGAAGTGCAGTAGCAATCATAGCGATAGGATTGTAGAAATCGAACATATCTTATTTTTCATACAAAGGCAACATCTGCGAAGGAGTGAATAATTTTTAGGGGGTACAGCTATGTACGAAAACAAATACCACAACAAGAAGCGTTTGGTGCAAATTCTTTTGTTTTGTCTGAAAATCTCTGGAAATCCTTTTGTTTTCGTACGCTATTTCATCATCATCAGGTACCATCTTCTATCAGAAGGTTGGCTACCATGACCCTCCAACTATCCCAAAATCTGAGTTTTGGTTTGTTCTCATGGTCATAGATAAAACTAAGGGGCTAATTACAAGATTTAATTGCCCCAAGAGAATAATAGTAAAATGCCAACTTACTTTCGACTCCTTTGAATCTTTTCTTCCCGTTAAAATATCCAGCAATGTAGTTTTCCCACTTCCCGATGGACCCATGATAGCAACCAGTTGTCCGGGGTTGAAGTATGCATTTATCCCTTTTAATATCTGCTTTTTCCCTGCATCTGTGCCACCCTTACCCCTGATTCTCAAGCTCAATTTCTGCCATCGATTTCTCCCATCGTTCACTTGTCGTTTGTGTCCCCCTGCAGTCACCGAATACTCAACATCCATGCAAGAGAGACCAATATAGTTAGACGGGATACAGCAAGGCAACCCAACTGCTTTTAACGTATTAGTGTTATTATACAACGAGTCAATGAACTGGTTTTGGATACGAGTTTCTCTTATTCTTTGTACCACCCAAAATACTTTTACTGTTACGCAAATGAGAGTGAGTATAAGATACAATATAAGAAGCAGCCATTCGGCCCATTTAGGCCAGGGGCTTACTTCGGAATAAAATTCGATTGATTTCGGGCATGTGGGGTTACACTGAACACGACGACACGAGTCCGATAACACAGTGGGTTCTTTTCTCGATAAGTCACTCCCATTGCGTGTTGGTTGCACGTTGGAAACAATGGAGGCCTCATACCAATTCTGAAGTATTTTGTTAATGGTTTTCCCTTTGACGGCCACTTTGTTCCATCTTCCTTTTTTCACAATATGACGAAAAACAAACAAGGGGAATTTGAATGATGTCTCAGAGCGCGAATTGAAAAGGCCGCCGGGAGACCACAAAGAGCTCGTAGCAAAAAATGTATGTTGGAAGCAAGAGACTATTATGGAGTGGATGTTTGAGATTGAGCTGGTTACTCGTAATGAATGGGAGATTTCTCCGCCAAAAGCAAGCATGTCCGAAAGGATTTTGCTTGTTTTGTCAAAGCTTGTTAACTTCCCCGAAAGAATAATTCCTTTCGACAAACTGTATATGTCGTAACGACTCATAATATTGAATAGTTGTACGTCGCGCGGGAAAAACCGCTTTGAAACCATGCAGAAAATCGACAAACAGCACGGATAGTGTAAACTCGTATCCGAACATCCTGGCACTGTGCTTACTTCAGAAATAAGCTTTTTCAAACCTTCATTAGCTAGCATGTTTTGATAATTAACAAACCAGGACGAATCAGTTAAAGCGTATATTTTTGCCCTGTATTTTCTTCTGACGAATTTCGCGTGATTCAAAACGCCGATGCCGCCAGCGCTACTTCCAGCGAGCCAGATTTCAGTGGCGTTTATCAAACCATAAGGATTCAAATCATCGATAATCGCGCGAAAAATCGCTTCACCGTGAAATGATACTGGCAGCGTTCTCCCTTGCGCGTTGCGAAAAATAATAGTTTTGTTGCCAAGCCAAAGATCATTACTACAATACGGTACTAAGACTTTATTATAGCGATAAAACAAGTTGTTTTGATCTGAAGACGACAAAATATCTTCTCCAACAATTTCTCTTGGATATAACCCTGTACCGTACAAATAAGGCTCTTGATTCTTCCTGTTTAAGCAGGAAGCATAATCAAAGCATCCTCCACCGCTTTCTAAAAATATGACCCATTTGGTAGAGTTGTTCCTGCTGATGTAATAAATTGGCGTTGAGCCATCGCTGCAAACTCCCCATCCGCCAGAAGTTCTGTTTACAATTGTTCGGTGCATCGAACAGCCTGTCTGCGGCGGGAAGTACCCAATAATTCCAAGGCACAAAACGATGAATGTTGCAAAGAGCATGGCTAGATATCAAACTTTATTCCTTCGTGGTCGAGACGCAGAATCTCCGATCAAAATAGAGATGCAGGACCCAAATAACTTCCAAGACTTTTCATAACCAGCCCAGATAAGGATCAGCAATAAACATCTTTATAAGCCAAAGAAAAATTCAAGTTATTTCTCAATATTTCGTTTGCTTACTCTTGCATTGTATTTCCTACCAAATACGCAGGCACGCTCTTGGCAGACGACAAGAAGCGATACACGAAACAATATTACCCTCTCTTCATAATTCTTGTCGAAACGAGTGGCTCCTCTTAAACCAAAACAAGAACAGAAAACACAGCGCACGAGAGTATTAAATACCTGGTTCTATGTTGGCAGCGTCCTTCCTAATGCTTCTCTTTCACCGATCTAAACAGGCTTGCACCAGTTAACTTGAAGCAATTCAATATTTGATGACGTCACACAGTGTTATGACAGCCAATTTCGTATATTTTAAACAGACCAGACATCACATAGAGTCTAAATATGTCTAAACATATTAATTTATAAATTGATTTTCCCGATGCATCCTCGAGATAAAGATTCGTAAATAGCTAACAATTTGAATCGGCCTGATGAACAGACGATTTGATTCGCCACAATCTCCTTTCAAATCCTTTATCTTTGAAGATGAGTAGAAAATTGAATCATCATTTCAGCACAGCTGCGCGCTCGCGAAGCACAGAAACAAGTTATGCCATCGCAAATATTGTTTGAAAAGATACTCACAGTCTGGAATTCGAGCCACCCAAGGGTCATGCAGTCATTAAACATGGGCCCGACATCTCATTACAAAGGATTAATATTCTGACTATGATGATTATTCAAAGAAACTTTGAGTATGATAATTCATGTTGGTTATGATGCTGATTGAGTTCACTAATACGCTTGAGTATATGCGACAATTATGAAGATATATGAAAATATATGAGAGTAATGTTAATTATGCAACATGCCTCAGTAAAGAACAGTTTCATATCTAAGTAAGTTGGATCTTGTGTTGTTTACAATGTATGCAAATGCAAGCGAATAATTCTGAAAACCAATGGTTAAAGCAAAATGCGCAAGGCAGACTGTAAGGCTGCATCTGAACACCTGTAAGTAACGATACTTCAGGACTTTAAAAGGTTAAATGTATGTTAATTTATGCCATTTAATGACAATATACGTCAATGAAATAATGCATAGTAGGACGATTTGTTCCTACAGCACATCAGCTTTACTTTTAGATAAAAAAATCGATACTAATTTAGAATGCATTATTACGATAATGTATGATAATTTATACATCTAATGCTTAGAAACACGACAACGAATTCAAAACAATTCTTATTATGATTTTCATTAAGTAGCTTTGTCTAAGGTATAGAAATAAGGAGAAAAGGGCTGAACTCAAAATAGTATAACAGTTATTAATGATGTAGGATAGATGATGAAATCTACTTTAAAATGTAAAATATCGCAACAATAAAGATCGCAGGAACTGGTTCCCCGTACAATATTTTTCGTTCTTAATCCCGCCCGCGCATTATTATGAATCTGCCGCAGAGAATGCGCGGAATAATTTTTTTTCTGGTCAGGTTCTCCGCGAATATTTTACTATTTGAACTTCTGATCTGACTTCTAATTACGAGAAAATACAAAGTACAAGATCTCTTCGAAAGATTTTGCTACGAATTCCGTGCACGATTTCTCATGAAAAGTTCGTTAGACGCGCTCCCCGTGCAGGAAAAAAAATTTAAAGTCTGGAGCATACTGTAAAAACTTCTTGTAAAAAATTCTTACCAGAATCAAAAGTAAGTTTTCTCGATCGAATCATACAAAAGAAAATTGCAATTATCAATTGCCCTATATTAAATTCCCTATATAAAAAGATTCTTAGTTAAGGTGAACACGTGTTCGATTTTGCTTAGCCACCTTAAACGCAACATCTGACCTTAGAATGTTTGTAGCCAATCACACAACAGCTCCAGCAGGCTTCTCAGAAGGATCAATACCATGCAACTTCATTTGAACAGCCATTTCGAACAGATAGTCAAAACACTCACACCTAGAAAAAATCGTATGATGATCAAAAACAAAGTTCAAACAAACCACCATGGACAACACGAAGCACGAAAAGACGAACCACGAAAACACGAAACCTAAAAAACAGGAAACGCACGAAACACAAAACGCACGAAACACGAAACGCACGAACCAAAAAAATAGCAGAAATATAGGCAGGATAGTTAACTGCTTTTTGCGTGTTTGTTGCAATATGGAACCGCTCCTTTGCCACACGAACTTTTCGCTACAACAATTTTGTTTATCTCTTATTGGCAAAGGCGATTAGAATAAAAGGAAATTGGAGGAAAGAGACGAAATTTCGGCCTATCAATTGATCTAAAAGAAGAGCATCTTGGCAAAAATTGGTTCAATTTAGATAATCCATGTTGATGTTTTAAACAGGCCTTTTTTTCTGAATCAAATCAAATTAGATTGTACAACCAGAGTGGAGTGATGCTATCTTGACTTCTAGGTCACAGCTTCTTTAATCTTTCTCAATCAAGAAGCCAATGCGACAAGATTCAGCTGTAGTACACAATGCATGTGTCTTGGAGACGAACAACTGATAAAAGTGCAGGAATTTGGTGATCCCCCGTCAATGCCCAATGAAATAACTATTGTACAAAGTCCACAACTGCAATGACGGGGAATAGCTCGATCATTGGAATGTTGGCAGCTATTTGTCTCCGCAACATGTTTACAGGAAGAAACTGCTAAATGTGAAAAATATCAGCCCTTTGAAACTTTTGATTTTTTCGACGCTTAAAGAAACACACACTTGACACTAAACATATATTATCTATTTTGATAAATGCCAGAAATACACAGTTACATTATTTTGGAAGTATTTTGTACCTTCGACAAATAATGCTTGCCCATCGACATCGACAGCTCACATAATAAAATGTCTAAGGGTGTTGTTACACAAGCGCTCATCATAACGCCTATTTATTAGATAAATTAATACTCACTCAGGCCATGCTGGGAATGGCGTGCGATCGCACGCCCACGCCTTGGCACACGCCTTCCGTTGCTCAGAAGTGCAGTTTATCGCACGCCTTAAATAATCTGCAAATAACACTTTACTCTAAAGTGACCAATATGGCCCAATGTAATTTTTTTATCATAATTCAACTATAAACGAACGGTGATAATCACGCAATCGTTTCTATTTGATTTCTACTTGACGAAAAATTTGGCGAATTTTCTAATTTGCTTAAAGTTATGGTAAACGTTTTTTGAATGAAACATCCACTTCTCGATTTCTTCAGATTCTAGTAGCCGGACTTTCAAGGCACACGATGATACCATGTTTAAAACTAACAGAAGTTCTGAAAGTGGCGAAAAACCCCTGTAAACGAAGGTTTCCATAATTTCTTTATCAAAGTTTTGAGTTGAGGTCTGAAAATCGCTCGACCTTTTAGGCCGATAATCCTTGCTTTGCAGTTGTGGTCGCTTGTCTCATTTGCAATAACTGCAGTGGAATCACGATATAACGAACCCCGGATATAACGAACTTCCCGGTATAAGGAACTAAATGCCTGGTCCCTTGGATTCTGCCTAACAAATTCCTTACAAATTCTCTCGGTATAACAAACCCCGGATATAACGAACTCTCGTTATCACGAACCAGTTTTAGGTCCCTTCATCATAATTACCCTTGATATAACGAACTTTCATAAATTCTTCATCTGTTATTTTTGTTTATTTATTTTCGGTATTCATTTATCACTTTCTCTTGGGGAGAAATCATTTTTATAATCGGCAAAACATGCCGATGATACATTTCAAGCCCGGGCTGATACACTCAGACCACGAGATGAAAGATCGATTGCGTCAGAAATTACTGCGAATGAGTACATTGACACTAACAAATAACTTCTTACATCTAAGGCATTAGCAATAAGCGATGACAAAACTTTATTGAGAGACCCAGATGGAGAAGCAGAAAAAGACAAGTAAGAATGTGAAGTAATTGAAGACATCATTCAGGCACCAACTAGGAGCGAAGTGATACCAGCTTTGCCAATCTCTTGGTCCCAAGTTATAAAAGGAACATTAAGATTTTCATTTTCAATGACCAGCCAGTTGTATTATTTGAATTCAGATTGGTCTTTTTGAGTTAAATGGTACATGTATGGCTGTACATGTGCACAGAGGTTGGAGATAGCCTAAACAAGCCCACCACAGGTTTTTTAGGCGTGAACTGCGAAAGGACCCCCAAAAAACATTATCTCTCGGTTTAACAAACTCCCGATATACGAACTATTTTCTGGTTCCCTTCAGAGTTCATTATATCGGGATTCCACTGTAGATACAACCCCATGGCACATGTAAGGCTTTGTTTATTTAAACAGGCTTATTGATCTTTAAGCTTTAAATGATTTGACCCAGATTACACTGTGGTTTACGAGTGTATCTTGCAAGTGCGATCAGTAAAATCCCGTTTTCTCAGGACTCACAATTCCTCTATATACAGTTTACTTTATGTGCATTTTTCTAATCTGTATGCAAATACAAAACTCTTTAGAAACTTTTACTAATAAAATGTGGCCAAAAATGTTCCAAAATTAAAAGACTTTGAATTGTGAGGATTTAGCTACTGTAGCTTTCTTACAAAATATAAACGTGCAATTAACCATTTAATTCGTTCTAACATTAGTCAACAGATAAGTTTTCTTTATGGTGAAAACACAGTTAGAATTCTTAAATTTTGAGAACGAGATTGTCAGGAGAAGCAGACCAGAAGGGTTTATAAACTGCAGGATTACATAATAATTAACCTACCTTATTGTTAATGTTTTTCTCTTTAATATGTTGGGTTTAATAAAGCTTGTTTGATAAAATGTATTGATTGGACTAGCCTTGCTTATGTTTTCTTATGATAAAGTTATGTAGTCTAGTACTACAATATCACAAGCTGGAGTAGTATACTGTTTAGTATCTTTTTCGGTTGCCTATTGTCACATCACATTGCACTGTGCCCTTGGGACCAACAAAGGGAGTGCGATTTTTCACTTGGTCCTCCTGCCATTTATTCCCAGCAATGGCCTGCTCACTCATATTAACAACGATAACTAGGCAACTATATAAAATGTACAAAAGAGCAAAAACAAAACGCAACTTGCACTTGTAAAAATGACGATAACCTCACTCTTTCTCGCGTTTTACAGAACGTCGTGTTGGTAATATTCGACACAAAATCCAATTGAGGTTTCAGATAAATTATGGGATGGGAAAAACTTCACAATCGAAGGACTTGATTACTCGTTCGCCTCAGACTCTGCCCAAAACATAGATACCATGCCTCCGCACAAGGACACAACATGTCTCTGGATATCCTTCATAGCTTTCTTCGAGTGGTTTCCTGTATACAAAACATTTGGGTTTTTAGAAAAAATTACATTTTGTTCCATACTTTCATTACATTATCAATATTCTTAGGTCTGGTTTATCATGTGAGCACAATGTACAACCACTAAGTCTTAAAATGATAACAATTCCACTTGAAATTCCAGAAACGCTGTCTGCATTAACAAGTCTTGTTTATTTTATTGAAAATGTAGCAGTTTATCTTAATTTTGATATAAGAAATGTTTTACTTACAACAAGCTCTATTTCAGTAAGCCTGTTTTCAATCACTGGGACAACCAACTCTTCATTAAATCTGTGGCATTAAAATAAAATAACATCATAACTAGGCATTTTACTAGAAAAAGTGTTATCGTTTATGCAAATTTATTGGTAATGATAATCTACAGCAAGCCTGGCCATGAGCATTTTAACAGGCGCACGGTACATCGCTCTCCTTGGTAAAGTCAGGCGGGCGATTTTTAGTCTCTTGAAAATCGTCAATAAAAGTATATGAATAAACAACATTCTTTAACAGCTAAGTTTACAGAACAAGATGGCGATGAAAAGCTTGCCTTGCTTACCCGAGGCGAGCGTGGAGGCGCGCACGGTGATCCCCTACCTCAAACGGCCAGGGCTGCCACAGCCGAGCTATTTATATAGATAGGTTATGCCATAAATGAAAAAGAAAAAACCAATAGACAGGTATCTTATCATGATTCAAGTATACAGCAAAAATATTTCAGTGACTTGGCTTACTAGCAAAATGGATTTTCTGACCTACCCATAATTTTTTCCAGTTTTGTCATTTTTTATACATTTTATCAATTGCATGTGTGTCAATTTGATTTCGTTGCCTGGGATTACCACTGATGCCATAAATGCAGCTTTCGAATGTGTATGCATCACTGCACCAGCACCTGGCAACAAAATTAGGCATACCTCAGTAAAAACAGTGGTAACGAAGTTCAAGTGTAATTGAAATACAAAAAACATACTTAGCTCAATTCTGACTTTGCAGCAATTAAGAATGAAAATTACTAATATATATAAACAATGTAACACAATGGGCAAGATATATTTATTATATAGGTTATAAAAATTATAAGTATTAATGCAAATAAACTAAGAGTGGTCCTTATACTGTATGTAAAATAGGGGCATGCTACAAGAGTAGCCATATGATATAAACACACAAAAATTATTACAATAAACATAGTTCTCAGTTATGTATGTTTCCAGTTCAGTTATAAATAAGTATGTTTCCAGCTAAATTTTTTGCTTAATTTAATAGTTTTTAAATAAGTGTAAAGTTACTAGCTGATCTTCTTGCATCAAGATAAATTAACATTATACTTGGGAAGGCTATTGAGAGACACTTTGACATCATACCTCGGTTTTTGTGAGCCACCATGAAAAATTTTGCACATGAACTTTTTTTAACACCTAAGCTGCAAAGAGAAAAGCCTTCGATCATCTTCAAATTCTAAAGCTGATATTATCTACACTGCTGATAAATTTCATGGAGATTTTTGGTTAACAGACATTGCGTGACATTATTATAAGTTCCTAATCTCTTTGTTATTGTTTTAGAAATCATTTTAATAAATGATTTATTAAAATTATGAGCTAGAGTCATCTCACATAAATAAAATGTCAAGTATTTTTTAGAAAAAGAAATAACTTCTTCACAGAGAGAGAGAAAAATTTCAACCATTCAACATAAAATGGAGAAAGGTTCTTTCATCATATGGATCAAAGTATGGATCAAAAACTTTACACATGAAGCAAACAAAGTCATTCCTGTCACATTCCAACTAACAGTTTTTTCAAGTAGCTGAACCAAGGAAAGTAATTATTGCATCTTTGCCTTTGTATTTTGTGTTTTTTTTAACTATGCAATAATGCTTTATCCATATCTGCCAAGCTTGTGTTTTTAAATGAGCCAAATCCATTGTTCTACCTAAAACTTCATGTCTCTGTTATCAGGGCTCAAAAAATAAGCATATGGGAGTCAGATCATACCTCTAGATGAAGCTATCATTCATGAAAATACAGTGAAAAGAAAAAGAAAAATTCAACAAAAACAAAAAACAAAAACAAGAGGCCAAAATACTATACCTTGGATCTGGGCTCTCAATAACGTTTCCCTCATCATCACAGACAAATATATGTTCTGGCTAAAAATCAATAATTTTGTAGTGAATTACATGATGAAAAATGCACCTGGCACCTGTCAATACAATAACAACAAAATAAAAAGTTCAGAATGGGAAATCTACAAAAAATGAATTTAAGGAATATGACCAATCTCTATGACCTTAAGTAAACAGGGTAATTCTTTGAAGTTATGAACACGTAACAAGTCATAAGTAATATTCTGACTAGGGTAGTTCATCTCCAGCCTTCAAGAAAAATCTTGCTGCTACAAAATCATATCTTTGTGACAATAAAGAGGTCAGTTGCAATGGTTCTGCTACAGTATTGAAAATTTAAGGGCTTTTGACTAGTCACGCTTTCCATCACCTCTTAGCTTATTAATAGCACAAACAAGAACTTGAAGTCTCATTGAAAAACAAAAGATTCCTCACCCTATCATTTCAGCAAAAATAACATAAATCCTTGAATTAGCCCCCTGAGGGCTTATTTATTTTTGATATTTTTGGATGGGGGCTTTTTTGAGGGAGGGCTTATACGAGGGGGGTTATAAAATTATTGTAGACATAAAGAAGACATTATAAAAAGACCTTCGTTTATTTCAGTAGGAATTTCTTTATGAGCATTTTATTAATTACTACCAAAGTATGAATTTGTCATGGTAATTCAATAAAATGCCACAGGCAACCTCAGATGGCAAAAATCATCATAGGGGGGGGGGGCTTATTGACAATTTTTAGTTCTAGGGTGGGGCTTATTTGATGGGGGCTTTTTTTAGGGGGGCCAGTTCAAGAATTTATAATAAGTTTGAAGTTTTCAAAAAAGCATTTCAACCCAATCACTGCAGAAACTCTAGCTAGCAATTGTTTATGACTCAAACAGCACTTGTGATTAGAATGGAAAACCAATTTTGTTTTATTAGCCACTAAAACTATAGAAATGACCTGTACCCTAGGCGAGCAATCAACAAAACTCAAAAAGAAAAGAAACATCAGAAATAATTTCTTACATTCCTGATCAAATTAGCACAAACTCTTTCACACAAAGAATGACACTTAGCTTGTACCAAATGGATGTATGAAAGCAAACTTACTTTGAGTCTTTCCTTCTGAACTGCAGATGGAGTAACCAAGATTCTATTAGGCCTGAAAAGTGATGGAAAGATTAATAATCAAAATCATAGAGAAATTTCCTCTCTAATGTAATACTAGCCCAGTAATTTTCATGTTATTCAATAATTGGAAGAACTTGACCTCAATCACCTGTAGATGGGTATTTGGAATATAAAAGACATAGATACATTGAATATGTTTGATAACTTCTTTGCATGGCTTTAAAGTCAAGGAGAGACTGCTGTTGCCAACAAATCAACCCTAATTCCATTTCAAGAGCAGGCTGCCAAAGGCAGGGCCTCCAACAAAGGGGGGGCCGGGGAGGCCTTTGAGTTTTTTTTTCAAAATCTTTTGTCATGGGTGTTAAATTTTCCCTTGGCCCCCCCCCCAACTTTCCAACCTTTGTCGGGGCCCATGAAAGGTAAAGCAAGCTGAAAGAGACTAGTCCAAAATATTTTCTACAAGTGAATACCAATTACATTAAATATTTTGATTTTATTCGTCATCTTGAAATTTTCCAATCACAACCATCAAATTGAAACATTTCTGCACAGTTCTGTTGGGTCTACAGAGCTAAAATTGATATGCTGGTGTTTCATACAAATGATTTATAGAAATGATTTACAGGCATTAATATGCCAGCATGAGCAATGATTCATATAACTCTGCGTGTTTAAGGCATTAAGATGATAAAAGAAATATTGTATGATGTTTTAATGATAAGGAACTTAAGGAACCCACAATTTGTATTTGTGGACATAGTGAATTGAAATGCTAGACCTTTCAAAATAAAAGAAACTACTAGATAAAAATGTTACCCTTCTCTGATGCTCATTGCTCCTCCAGTACCAGACATCCATCCTAAATGATAAAACTGATTGCACAATTCCGGAATCAGTCTTCTTATTTCCACCTTTAAAATAGAAACGACTCTCTAATCTAATGCCATATCATAAGAAAGCAAGGTTTTCCAACGTTTCAAGAAAGGTTGGTCCTTAGAATTTTACATTACACAGAATAATACGTGTGTGCAATCCTACGTTTTTTTGTGCATTAGACAATCTTCTGAAAAATCTTATGTGTGCACATGTCACATCCTGCAGACTGGCCAGGAAGCCTATACGCAAACGTGCACGTGTTGTGGTGAGCTCTTGGAAATCTAGACATTTTCAATTTAATTTGAGATGATATATTTAAGGTGATGAATCTCTGCTAAATAACTATCAGTTTCTTTCAGGTCTCCTTGATAAGTCTGTGGATTCACTAACCTCTTTGCTTCCATCGTTCGCACTATCTCTTTTCCTCTTCGCAGCCATCTTGCTGCTGACACGCTGTTGTGCTGTTATGTTTTGGACTCATTTGGAGGGATGGCACCTTCTGTAAAGAATGGCATTGCACATGCGCGAGTTCATAACAGACCTGGGCTCTGTGGTCTGTCCCGTTTGGATGGGGCGCCAGAAATTTAACGGTGGAGGGGATTGATCTTCCTACAGCAGGGCTAGGTGGACAATCAGAACGAGCACATGAAAATTCGGAATCTGTAAATATGTTTTTGTATTACGTAATTATTATTTTAAGGTTTGCTTAGGGTATATAAAGGGTTGTTCCATAGGTTAGGAGTAATTTTGTTGAAAGTTTTGCCGTACTGCTAGGAGCTCTGTCGCTAATTTTGTCGTGCCTGTTGAAGCCGTGTCGTTATTTATCGAACTTGCTTTTAACCCGTTAGTCGTATCATCGCCATAAAAAGAAGAATTTTGATCTTATCCGCCGTTGCCGTATTTTTAGAATTTCTGCCTACAAAGAACTCACGTTTGTAAAACCCACCTTTTAAGAGGTTTTACATTGGTTACCCCGTGTGAGGACAGCCGAGCCGAAGGAAAAGAAAATGAGCACTTATCGAAGGAAAAGAAAATGAGCACTTATCGATACCTGCGAACCACAGACGACCAGCCACGGCTGTTACGCCTATTGTTAAATAACCACAACTTTTATAATTTTTATTTTAAAAACTAAAATTTTAATTTAAAAAATTAAAATTAAACCCAGGCCAGGCCAAGTCAGCCCGTATTGGGCTGACTCGGCCCGGGCTGACTCGGCCCGGGCTGACTCGGCCCGGGCTGACTCGGCCCGGGCTGACTCGGCCGGGGCTGACTCGGCCCGGGCTGACTCGGCCCGGGCTGACTCGGCCCGGGCTGACTCGGCCCGGGCTGACTCGGCCCGGGCTGACTCGGCCCGGGCTGACTCGGCCCGGGCTGACTCGGCCCGGGCTGACTCCGGCCGGGCTGACTCGGCCCGGGCTGACTGGGCCCGGGCTGACTTCGGCCCGGGCTGAGTGGGCCCGGGCTGACTCGGCCCGGGCTGACTTCGGCCCGGGCTGACTCGGCCCGGGCTGACTCAGCCCGGGCTGACTTCGGCCCGGGCTGACTCGGCTCGGGCTAAGTGGGCCCGGGCTGAGTGGGCCCGGGCTGACTCGGCCCGGGCTGAGTGGGCCCGGGCTGACTTCGGCCCGGGCTGACTCGGCCCGGGCTGACTTCGGCCCGGGCTGACTCGGCCCGGGCTGACTCGGCCCGGGCTGACTTCGGCCCGGGCTGACTCGGCTCGGGCTGAGTGGGCCCGGGCTGAGTGGGCCCGGGCTGACTCGGCCCGGGCTGAGTGGGCCCGGGCTGACTTCGGCCCGGGCTGAGTGGGCCCGGGCTGACTCGGCCCGGGCTGAGTGGGCCCGGGCTGACTCGGCCCGGGCTGACTCGGCCCGGGCTGACTCGGCCCGGGCTGACTCGGCTCGGGCTGACTCGGCCCGGGCTGACTCGGCCCGGGCTGACTCGGCCCGGGCTGACTCGGCCCGGGCTGACTCGGCCCGGGCTGACTCGGCCCGGGCTGACTCGGCCCGGGCTGACTCGGCCCGGGCTGAATCGGCCCGGGCTGACTCGGCCCGGGCTGACTCGGCCCGGGCTGACTCGGCCCGGGCTGACTCGGCCCGGGCTGACTCGGCCCGGGCTGACTCGGCCCGGGCTGACTCGGCCCGGGCTGACTCGGCCCGGGCTGACTCGGCCCGGGCGGACTCGGCCCGGGC